AGACATGCAGGGAAAATACCAATGCACATAAAATAAAAATAAATTATCTTTAAAAATTGATAAGGCCTGGTTATGTGAATTATGTCCATATGGTAATTGCCTTATGGATATTAAAATCTGTGCTTTAAAGAAAAAAGACACCCGAATGTACTTTCAATATTATTAGTGGGAAAATAAGTGGTACCTCGTGTTTTTAATCCCAGCACTCAGAAGGCAGAGGCAGGCCTCTGTGAGTTCGAGGCTAGCCTGATCTACAGAGTGAGTTCCAGAACAGCCAAGACTACACAGAAAAACTCAGTTAAAGAAACCACGTATACATATACACATACACACACACACACACACACACACACACACATTCACCATGTAGATGGTAAAAAAGCAGTAAAATATTACTAGATGTTTATTTTTGATTGGTGGAATTACAGGTAATTTAAATCTTATTTTTGTAAATATTTTTCTAAAATAAGTAATTACTTTTATCAGAAAAAAATAAAGGAAAGAAGGAATTCTTGTTTCTTTTTCTTGTGAATTTTTCCCTGTTAAATGGGATTTTAACAGAGATTAAACTTCTTTAAAATTTAAGGAGGTTTGACCTAATGCTAATAAACACAGCTGGCCCTAAGTTAGTGTCTGTAATAGATGTTTAACTTAGGTTCAGTTACATTTAGAAGAGCTAACAAATGGAGTCTGGTAAAACTACCAACTGCCAACGGGCAAGGCCAGGCTCACTGACATTATCCCACCTCTGTCCCTCCATGCCCATGCCGAGGTCAGGATTCCACTCTCCTTAGACAAGACAGAAGCACTTGGTGTGAGCGTCAGAGCCTCCTGTGAACCCACAGGTACACACGTCCTGTGTGAGTGCACCCACTCATGTATTCTGTAGCTCATAAATAGCATGGCATGGTTTTCCCATCATCTTCAACAGCAAACTCACCTTCGTGAATGGTAGCTGACACTAATCGACTGTTGTTTCTGCTCTGCTGTTTTAAGCAAGACTGCCATGCAGTCATTGTACTGAGTTTTGGTTCTGAGGTCACTTACATTTAAGTATGAAAAATCCCTCGAAGTTAATGTGGAGGCCAAACTGCATTCTACAGTCTTGATGATGAAATTGCCCACCTACCTGTTTTAATTTGCCAGTGCGATGGTTGAAAACTAGCCTCTCGTTATAGATGTTGCCTTTTTTTTTTTTTTTTTTTTTTTTTTTTTTTTAAAGAAGTGAGCATTACTTTTTCTGAAGAGTGAAAAATTGTTGGTCTGAAATTACCCATTGCACTTAACCTCTGAACTGCCTTCTCTGAGCCGTACCTATTTATACACTGGGATACTGATTTTTCTCACCTTTTTGGACACAGAGTCTTGCTCTGTAGCTTAGGTGGCCTGTAATTACAGGCATGGGCCACCATGCCCAGGGTTCCTGTTCTGACTCTCTCTTTAATTTGATGTAATGGGAAACAAGAAAATGAGCTCCTCCTCCATTTAAAACAATCATAATATTGATGCGTTCCCCCATTACAAAGTTCATTTTAAAATTATGTTTGTGTTTTAAGTGTGAGTCTGAGGGTTCGAGGTCTCGGAGAGCACCGGCTGAGACGTCCACATTCTTGTGCCAGAGAACAAAGAACTGGACCACGGATTGTGATTAAAAAAAAAAAAAAAAGTGTATTAGAGAAGAGAAAGGCGATCCTGTGGGAGGACGTGAGCTACAGGGTCGGGACAGGTCCACGGGGGTAGGGGCAGGCTCAGGACCCTTTGTAGGTTAATTGTACAGTGCTTGCCATCTCTACTAGAGAGTGAAGGGCTTTTCTGGTGCTTGCTCTGTTCTGTAACATGGAGCCCTGGTGGGGACCGGTTTCTGATCTCTTTGCCTAATGGCTTCTATATGTTAATCCTGATGACTCTTTCTCCCCTACTCTTTGACCATACTTAGATTATTTTTTATAAAATATTTTATTTATTAAAGAAAAGATTGGGTGTTTTTTGGGGGGGTTAATGGCTTTTAGGTTTTCTTTTCTATTTATTTATTTTTACCACTGCAAGATCATTTACATGTGTTGGGAGATGTTATTCTGTAAATATGTTACTCTTATTGGTTAATGAATAAAGCACTGTTGGCAAATAGGAAGGCAAAATAGGTGGGACTAGGAAACAAAGAGGATTCTGGGAGATGTAGTGGAGAGTCAAGATGTAGGGACTTGAGAGAAGAAGGTCTAGACCCTCTCTCCAGTAAGATAAGACCATGTGGAAACACTTAGATTAATAGAAATGGGTTAATATTTAAGACAGAGCTAGCCAATAAGAAACACTAGTAACAGGCTAACAGCTTTATATCTAATACAGCATCTCTGTGTTATTTGGGGCTGACGTGGCTCTGGGACCAGGCTGGTGGGAAAACTGCTCGTAACATACACATTTTATTTTGTAATTTGTTTACTGTTTGTTGGTTTATTTTGTTTTTTTCTAGACAGGGTTTCTCTGTATAGCCTTGGTTGTCATAGAACTCACTCTGTAGACCAGGCTGGCCTTGAACTCACGGAGATCTATCTCCCTGTTTCTGCCTCTTGAGTACTGGGATTAAAATGTGGCTTATTTTTGTGAGGTGGTGACATGGATCAGCTAATATGGTTGCTGAGTGGGCAGGCCTGGCGATCTGAGTTTGACCCCTGAAACTATGGGAAGGGTGCAGTAAGAGAACCAGTAATACAGACTTGTCTTCTGACCCCGTGGAGTGCAGGTCAACCACGTGCGTGTGCAAACACAGTGCTGTTCAAAGGGTCAACTCTTGGATCCTCAGTCCCTCCCTCCCTCTGTCCATCTGTCCCTCCGTCCCTCCCTCCTCTTTCCCTGCCTCCTTCTTTTCAAGTTTGAGCAATTGTCCTAAAACAGTGTTGTGTCTTTAAGAGCCCAGTCAAGCTTGCTGTCCTTTGTGTAGTGTGTTTGGGTCACTCTTCTTGTGAGTTATTTGTTTCTGCTTTGGGGGGAGTCTACATAGATTGTCCTTGTGGTGGCTCTTGTGATTACTTTGTGTCTTTGTGAAGGGCATGTGTTCTCTACTGAGAGAGGGGTGTGTACCGCTACAATCTGTCACATGCTCTGTCTGTTCACTCTTTGGGTTTCTATGAGAGATGTGGGAGCTGCTGCTGTTTGGGGGGAAGGCAAGTTTCCAGTTCTGTCAAGAACTTGGGTTCTAATACTTTTTTTTTTTTTTTTTTAAAGCATCCAGGTGCTGGTGCCTTGTCTGAGAGGTACTTCCTGTCCTGCCCTGGACTTCCCAGAAGTTCACTTCTTGTCTTCCACCTCATACAGCCTTTAACACAATAACACCCAGTCAGTATTATTTATTTTCATTTTCATATTCTCTCTCCTTCTCCCTCCCTTCCCTGCCCCTTCTCCGACACTTCGCTTTTTCTAAGGCAGAGTCTCATACCATAGTAGTTATAGTTGTTAAAGATAATCTGGAATTTGCCAAACTCCTCAGATGATCTGTACTGTATGTGTAAGCCACCATACTTGGTTTCGAAGACAGCACTTTCATTTACAAAAATAATATCGGCATATATTACCCTGAAATCTATAAAAAGAAGGGCAAATTCCTGTCCTTATTCCTTTGCCCCAAGCCCTGGTCCTTCAGGCTGCACAGGGGACACTATTCATCAGGAATTTGGTATGATTGCTTGAGAACTTCCCTAATTTTAGTTTTTACAGAATATCTCTGCATTATTAGTATTTTACAGAAATCTTCTGCATTATTTAGTATTATTACAAAGCATATGTATGATTTCTTTGTTTTATGGTATTTGTTTTTCACTTTTACCAATACTGCTTGGATGCTGTTTCAGCACACCATGCTGCCAAGTGTAGCCAGTCTGCCATTGAGTGTATCAAGCTGTTCAAGGCTACATTTTACAAATGTGCTTAGTAGAGCACGTATGTTTCTATAGAGAGGGGATTCTTAATTATGTGTAAGTGTGTGTGTCTGTGTGGGTATGTATGCATGAGCGGATGTGCCTGCAGAAGGCAGAGGAGCCTGTCAGGTCCCTGGAGCTGGAGTTATAGGTGGTTGTGAGCCACCTGTTGTGAGTGCTGGGCACTGAATTCACTTTTGCAAGAGCTTCAAGTGCTCTTAATTGCTGAGTCATCTCTCTAGCCCCAGTAGGGTATTTTAATGTAAGGAATGGGATTATAAGTTTGTTCCCTTGAGTGCCCAACAGTTCTTATTTGTTGTACTTTGAACTTGTAATTGTTAAGTGCTGGCCAGGTTTAAAACACACACACACACACACACACACACACACACACCAGCAAATAAAATACAAAATAGAACAAGACTTCCAGTACACTTGTGACTCCATGCTGTTTCTTCTTCTCCTCCTCCTCCTCCTCCTTCTTCTTTTTAATAAAAATTTTATTTTATGATATGGGTGGGATTTTTTATTATTGTTTTTGTTTTGTGGGCTTTTTTTGTTTTTTGTTTTGCATGTGTGCCTGTGTACTGCATGCATGCTTGGTGTCCCCAAGGCCAGAAGAGGAGGTCAGAGCCTCTGAAACTGGAGTTAAGTTGTGAGCAATCCTGTGGGTGCTGGGAACCATCCTCTGCTTCTCTACAAGAGCAGCCAGTACTCTTAACCACTGAGCCATCTCTCCAGCCCCTTAAAATGTCTTTGTTAGGTGAAAGGACTTTCATGGTAATTGATTAGTTTTGTAGGGAAAGATCCAGGGTACAAAAACTTTGGGAATCAAATACTAAGTGGATTCTTTTGTTTGTTTGTTTTTGTTTTTTGAGACAGGGCTTCTCTGTGGCTTTGGAGGCTGTCCTGGAACTAGCTTTGTAGACCAGGCTGGCCCTAGTCCCTCTTGGTCACACCCGCACCTGTCCCCATGCCCCAATGGGCATGGTTGGTGCAACAAGTGCAGGTGGGGTGGATATCTCATCACACGAATACATTTGACTTATTATTTACCTGTGTTTTTGTATGTTTTGATGTTTGAGACAGTCTTGCTGTGTAGCCCTAACTGCCCTGGGACTGCTGTGTGGAGCAAGTAAACTTCGAACTTGTGGTGATCCCCTTGCTTCTGAGTATTCAGTGCTGGCATTACAGGGTGAGTGGCCATACCCAGCTACAAATATTCTTATTTGAACATCCACTGTGTCATGGAATAGCAACAATTCCCTTTATTGTAGGGGAGGAGGCAACTTTCGTGGACAAAGGTTTCTGTTGCACCCAGTCCCACAGCCCTTTAATCCCAGATAAACACACACAGGTTTATATCAATTATAAACTGTATGGCCGATGGCTCAGGCTTATTATTGGCTAGCTCTCTCTTAATTTCTATCCCATTTCTTTTAAACCATGTATTGCCACGAGGCTGTGGCTTACCTGTAATGCTCGGGCATGTTACTCCTTTGGCGGTTACATGGTATCTCCCTGACTGACTCCTGGACAATCAGCTTTTATTTATCAACCAATAAGAGAAACATATATTCACAGCATATAGAAGGACATCCCCCATCAGCTCTGAGGTTAAGGAGAAGGGCAGTGTCTGAGATGCCATGGTAGTTATGGGGTTGTGTTGGAACAGAAAGGTTTCCTAGTTGAAGGGTCTCAGTCACCATCCCGACTTACCTCTTGAGGGCAAGGCATCTCTTAAGTAAGACAAGGGTCACCTGAGATGAGGACAGGACTGCTACTTCCAAATTAACATTCATAGCTGTCAACCCAATAGGAAAAGTAAGGTGAGGAAAGCGTCCACTATCCCAGGTCCTGGGTGTTTGGGTCTTGTTCTGGCTAATCTTTATGTCCACTTTACACAAGCTAGAGTCATTTTTGAAGAGAGAACCTCAATTGAGAAACCCAGATTGGCCTGTGGGCAAGCTTGTGGAGCATTTTCTAGATTGATGTGTGATATGAAAGGGCCCAGCTCTCTGTGGGAAGTGCTACTCCTGGGCTGATGGTCTTGGATGCTACACGAAGGCAGGTGGAGCAAGCCAGGAGGAGAGGGAGGCCAGTAAGCATCACTCCTCCATGACACTTGCAGCGTTTCCTGCCCTGACTTCCCTGAATGAGGGAGTCTACGAGCTATAAGATCAAATAAATCCTTTCCTCTCCAAGTTGCTTTTGGTCATGTTGTTTTATCACAGCAATAGACACTAACTGAGACAGGCCCCATGACCGGGCTTTCTCTTTCTTGGGGTTGGCATGTTTTTGGTGTTACTTGATGTCACCTAAGATTCTCAATCAGGAGATAGGTAGCCTTCTACTCCTTACTTTTACACATGATGACACTCACAATACTCCTAGGAAGCAGCTTCCCAAGGCAGAGTGGCCAATGGCACGGCCAGGTTTTGAAGAAGGCGGAGCCCATGTTCCTATCCATGACACTTGCTGTCCTTCTATAGAGCTACTCTACTGAAGTCTGTGTCTGTCCAGTTTAGCTCCACTTTTTGTATGCCCCCTTTCTTCAAGCTGCCTTCCCAAAGGTCTCTTGCCTGCAGGAACTCCTATTCCCAAGACTGTTACTGCACCAAGTAGAGATTCTCTGACCAGTGACTCTGTACATTCACCCCCCTCCATAACAGCTCCTGAGAAGTAGAAACTTGTTGTTTTGTTCCCATTATTCTCCATTTCTTCCCTCTAAAGTGTCTGGAATGTAGTAGATGCCATTAGTACTCGACAGAAACAAGGGGGTAGCTGGTACTTTACTTCCTGGCTTGATCATGGTGTCATGTGTTGACCTAGGTCACTACTTTCCTGCCACTTGAACAGAATGGATTTCAGAAACTGTCTTTACAAGATTGCTGAATGCCTGGTCAGTGATGAACTGGCTGCCCTCAAGTTTCTGTGCTTGGACCACATCGCACACAAGAAGCAGGAACCCATCAACGACGCCCTGGTACTATTTGAGGTACTACAGGAAAAGGGACTGTTGGAGGAAGGCAATCTGTCCTTCCTGAAGGAACTGCTTTTCCTCATCAAACGGCTGGACCTGCTGGCCAACTTCCTGAACAGCAGCAAGGAGGAGATGGTGAGGGAGCTGCAGGTTCTAGACAAAGCCCAGGTTTCTCCTTACAGGTGGGTAGAAGTGCTGGGAAGCATGGGCTGAAGGGGTGTGACTCTGGATGCTGCTGGTGGGGTCCAGGTTGTAAAGTGCCTCGTGAGTCTCTGTGTTGAACATATAACGCAGAGAAAAATGCTGAAGCCGTAAAATTATGTAGTTTTCATGCATTGTGGTACAGAAAGGGACTACTGGGGAGGAGAAGGGATTTGGCTGTAGGAGGATAAGACAGAAAAATGTGTGTGTGGGCATATGATCAAAGTCCTGTGTCGGTTACTTCCTGTTCTGTGGCAAAATACCATGACCAAAATTAATTTATAGAAGAAGAGTATAGTATGTCTTTCTTGTCAGACCTTCTTTTGAACCGCCATCCCCCAGATAATGATGTGGAGATTTATTACTAATTATGAAAGCTTAGCCTTTAGTTTGGGTTTGTTCCCAATTGACTTGTATAACTTAAATTAACCTGTTTCCATTAATCTACATTGGCAAATTTGGAGAAAATACTGTATTATCCATCCTATCATAACTTTTATTACCAGCCTAAAGATATCCTTTTAAACCTTAAAACATTTTCTTAAATAAACAACAAAGTTTATATGTTTCTCAACCTTTATAAACTTTACATCTCTTTCGTAAGTTTCTTTTTTGAATTTAGTAGCAAAGAAATCGGTAAAACTCTAACTATCCATTCTTCAGCTCCATCAGAGACCTGAGAAGGGTAAAATATTACCTAAGTAAACAGGAAGTGCAGAGCAAACGACTTCCAAAAGTATAGAAATGACAGAAACGGCTGGCAGCTTGGACAGTCACCCAAGTTTCCTCTGCAACATTGCAGCAGGCATCTTAAGCCTATAGGCCTAGAATACCTGACAGACTTTTTGTGAGACGGGAGTTTTGAAGAACTATCCTACCTTGTCTTGGCAAGGTTTGGCAGTCACCTTCTTTCATGGTCTGCTTGTCCTGTTTGGACAGCACGCTGTCAGCAGTCGAGGGGAGAGCAGTTTCTTGTCCAGTGACTAACTTTGTCACAAATGAAAGCAAACTCCATACGGAGGGTCTTCAGTGTCCATCATCTTCTCTGATGTAGATTGGTGCTGCCAGGAACAGACATATCTCACTGTCATGAAAAGCCTATGTTATTAAAACAAATTAAATGTTATATTCAGTAGGTATCAACTATCTATATCTCTGTATGACCTTGACAACTTATCTCTAACATGACTACACGTTTGATTGTTATAGATGGCTAACTACTGACCTGTATTTCTTAATTATCCTAAATAATTTATAACAACTTTCAAAGACTAGAACTTTACATCTTTAAATGAGCTGCATAAGTACAATATCTTACAGTATGTTGAAAAAAATAACCTTAAATTTGTATCAATATACAAAATACCTTAAACAAGAGTAGAAACATATATAAATGTTATAGCAAAATAACCTTAAATTAGTATCAATATACAAAAATCCATATCAATGTAAAGTATTTGAGATTTATAGTTTTTTTTGGTTTAAAAGTAGATTTAATAGTCTACCCTTTTATCCTATTATTGCTATATCCCCCTTTTTTTTCTTTTCAGATGAGATCCCTGAATCTAAAACCTCCTTTGGTTCATTTTTTTCCCTGACCATGACCAGTAACAACTTGCAACTAATCCCTTTAAGTAACAACAAACCTCCACAACCTGTCAAATGATGAAAAGCCACCCACCCCACCTCTAGGGAATGTGGGTATTGTGTTCTTAAGATGACTTCCTGTTGTTTGGGGGGGTCAAGTCCTGGGAGGGCCAGCTGCTGTTCAGTGATGGCAAAGTGCGGGGCTTATCTGAAGTCCTGGCTGGAGTCACTGTGAGGCTGCACCATCTCAGCTAGCAGCTTTGAAGTTGTTATAGAGGCAGATTTTGAGGAAACTATAACAGAGGCATTCTGGGAGGTTGGACTACCCGGATTACTTGTCTTTATTTGTGTCTGGTCTTTTTTTTTTTTTTTTTTTTTTTTTTTTTTTTTTGAAAACACACAAACTTTTAAAGGTAGCATGCATATCTGTATTAACACAAGCATGGAATATGTTGTGTGCACAAGTCAGCTAAAGGTGATTCTCTGTTTAAGCAGGTAAAAGACATCTGTCCCTTTGGACTACATAACCAAACAGTAACATAAAACTCCATGAAAGACATCCCATGAATGGATGGCATGTAATAGTAAGTCATAAGGACTCTGTAGCTAAGATTTACCACGTCTCGTCCAGTTCTAGAGCTGTTCCCACGTAGAAGGACCAGCACACGTATCATCTGCCTTGTAGTTTTTCGTAGTTTCTTCCTTTATGTCTGCAGTCAAGATTTTCAGGAGGCCTCCCTTGGTCATTTATTAATTTTGAAGGCATCCATAATTTTTCATTTCCTGTGGAAATAAAGGTATAACCACTCCATTCTGACTTCCATTCTGAAGTTAAACCTCCTAAAATATGTAGGCTGGTTTAATTCAGCAGTTTTCCTAATCCAATGTCTCTTAGCAGCTGTTGTTTTATTTTCCTTCACACAAGCTGTTAAGAGTTTTGCTGACTTCCCCCCCCCAAAGTTTAAAGATTTACTTATTCATATTTTTAATTACGTGTCTGTGTTTGGGCATGTGTATGTGAGTACGGGTGCCCTCGGATGCCAGATACCTTGGCGCTTCTGTACCTGGAGTTGTAGCAGGTTGTGAGTTGCCTGGTTTGGATGCCCAGAATTGAGCTCTGGTTCTTGACAAGAGTGTCATGTGCTCCTAACTGCTGAGCAACATCTTCGTCCCAAGTTTTGCTGACTTCTAAAACAACCATTTCCAAGGTCTTAAATGTGTACATAAGTAATGCTTCTGTGGTGGTTTGAAAGAAAATGGCCCCCAAAGGGAGTGTCGCTGTTAGGAGGTATGGTTGGATTAACTGTGGCCTTGTTGGAGGAAGTTCACTGTGGGGGCAGGCTTGAGGTCTCCTATGCTAAAGCCGTGCACAGTGAGACAGTTCAGGTCTTGTTGCGTGTGGATCAAGATGTAGAACCCTCTCCAGTGCCATGTCTGCCTGCATGCTGTTATGTCCCACCATGATGATAATGGATTGAACCTCTGAAACTGTAAGCCACCCCAATCAAATGTTTTCCTTTATAAGAGTTGCCATGGTCATGTTGCCTCTTCATAGCAATAAGAACCCTGAGATAGCTTCTGAAACGGAAATCTTAGTGTGCCGCCTAACAGTTTGGGCAATGATGGGCTGCGTGTGTGATGTTGGTCCTGGGAGATTATGCTACCTCACTAGTGATATCATAGTACTCTTAGTTTAGGAATACATTGTGATGTTGACAAAATAAAGAAACCATTTGTTGAGGATCTCAGAATGTGCACCCACCTTTAAGTGACATGTGACTGTAGTTCATGGAAACTTATGTAATTCACACCTGTCTGTGGTATAGATACACATTTATCTTCTATCTACTGATGAGCAAGAAATGAGCAACATGTCAAAAATTACAAAGTTCAAACACTGCACCTCACAATACTCAGGCTAATGAAAATGAAAAGGCATGGGCCAAGCTGTCGGGGACTTTGGTGGTTTTTTGTTTTTCTTTCTTTTTTTTTTTTTTTTTTTTTTTTTTTTGGTTTTTCTTGACAGGGTTTCTCAATGTAGCCCTGGTTGACCTGTAACCCTCTCTGTAGACCAGGCTGGTCTGGAACTCACAGGGATCATCTGCCTCTGCCTCCCCAGTGCTGGGATTAAAGGCACCCACCACCACTACCCGGTATCTTGGATGGTTTATAGACAGACTATTGTAATATATGAGTTATCTTTCTGGAGAGAAATGAATGAAGCTTCAGTGAGAGAACAGAGCCCTGAGAACTCTTGGGCAATGTGGTGTGATTGCGGGTGGGCAGTGAGCATGTGTAACTAGACAAGGGAATGTCGGGTGGGGAGAACACAGGGCAGTTGGCTGTGTTGAGAGCTTTAGGACCTTTGGTCTTGGTAAGAGTGGAGTGTACGCGCACGTGTGTGTGTGTGTATGTGTGTATTCAGAGTCCTTTGTATTCTAGAACCAAATGTTTAGTCTTCTTCTTGAAAGAAATGGCTGGGACACTGACCAGTTCTTGGAAGGGAATCAACTCTGACATGTACTGTGGAGAATATGATTCCCCCAGATCATCTCTCCTGGACCTTGATTTTCTTTTCTTTTTTAAAAAATAATTTATTTAACCTTTTTATTTTATGTGCATTGGGGTGAAGGTATCAGATCTCCTGGAACTAGAGTTACAGACAGTTGTAAGCTGCCATGTGGCTGCTGGGAATTGAACCAGTCAGTGCTCTTAACCACTGAGCCATCTCTCCAGCCCTTGGATCTTGATTTTTATAGCGACCTGGGGGCAGCATGATTGTTTTAGCTGAAGCTAGTTGGAAGATGAAGGTGGTGGGACTTTGCTCAGAGTGGGCTGGTTGGTTTGACTCAGTAGATTTCCATCACTGTGTAGCCTTTTCCTGAGGCTCACCAGCCAGGCATCGTTGGCTCTTTTAAGGAGGCCCTAGGAGTGGAGTCCGAGGTTAATTCTGTGTAGTGATGGAAGTGATCTAGGGCGTATCTCTAATGTGCCTCCATTTCCTACTACAGGGTCATGCTTTTTCAGCTCTCAGAAGATGTAAGCACGATGGAATTGAAGTCTTTTAAGTTTTTTTTGAATAAAGAGATCCCCAAATGTAAGCTGAATGACGATAACTCGGTAAGACCTGGTATGTCCTTGAGATGGGTCACCAGTGGTGCTTCTGAGACCAGAGGGGACTGTTCTGCCAACAACAATCTGTATTCAAGACAAAAATCATCTGTTTGTTTGTCCTTTCATTTGTTTGTTTGAGACATGGTATCATGTAGCCCAGGCTGAACACAAACTTGCTATATAGCCAAGGATGGCCTTAAGCTCACTTCTTACCCAGGGAAAATAAAGTGTTTAGGCAGGGGTAGTAGTTTTGGCTTTGATGTAAGGTGCTACAGCTTAGCCATGGGGCAGACCCAGGAGCTAGAGAAGGCAAGTTGTACAGTGCCACAATGCATGGGACCTAGCAGGGCCAGGGAGGAAATGGGGCCCGGAGTCACACTTCCCTCACTTCTGCTGCCCTTGAAATGACATATTGCTTGTTTGCTTGTTCCCCCAGTGTGTGGCATGTGTCTGTGAGTAGGTTGTATGATATATGTGTGTGTCTATATGTTGTATATTTTGTGTATGTGCTTTTTTCTCTCTAATACATTCTTTAGTATCTTATTTTACTTCTCTCTAATATACCCAGAGCCTTAGTGACAATAATGTCTTCCAGGCCTCCACAGGGACTATAGTGGGGAGACGAATACACAGTTTACATATAACAAGCCCATTCCAGCTTCCTTCAGTTTTTTAGGGTTCTGTTTTTTTAATTAATTTTTTACATTCCAACCCCAGTTCCCCCTCTCTCCTCTCTTTGCCCCTCCCATCTGATCCTCAAGAGAGGGTAAGGCCTCCCGTAGGAAGTCTACTAAGTCTGTCCCATCATCTCACTGAGGCAGGACCAAGGCCCCTCTCCACCCCCCTGTGTCTATGCTGAGCAAGGTATCTTCTCCATATAGAATGGGCTCCGCTAAGTCAGTGCATTATTGTTAGATCTTGGAGCCACTGCCAATGACCTCATATATTGTCCCAGCTGCACCATTGTCACCTATATTAAGGGAGTCTGGTTCAGTCTTATGCAGGTTCTCCATTTGTCAGAACTGAGTCAGTGATCTCTCACTAGCTCTGGTCAGCAGATCCTGTGGGTTTCTCCACCATGGTCTTGACTCCTTTGCTCATATTATTGCTCCTCCCTCACTTCATTGTACTCCAGGAGCTTGGCCCAGTGGTTAGTTGTGGATTTCTGCAACTGCTTCCATCTGTTTCTGGAAGAGAGTTCTAGCTTCTCTGGGGTTGTGGATTGTAGGCTGGGTATCTTTTGCATCTTTTGCTTTATGTCTGGTATCCTCTTATGAGTGAGTACATACCAGATTTGTCTCTCTGGGTCTGGGTTACCTTACTCAGGATGGTTTTTTTGTTTTGTTTTGTTTTGTTTTTTTCTAGTTCTATGCGTTTGTCTGCAAAGTTTAGGATGTCATTGTTTCTTACCACTGAGTAGTATTCCATTGTGTAAATGTACCATATTTTCTTTATTCCTTCTTCAGTTGAGGAGTACCTAGGTTGTTTCCAAGAGCTGGATATTATGAATAAAGTTGCTATGAATGTGTATGTGCTTCTTATGTACATGTGTGGCATCTGTACCTGTGTGTGTGTGGTGTATGCCTCTGTGTGGTTTCTCTGTTGGTCTGAGTCTATATGTACTACATATGTGTGTGGGTTTTTCTCACTCTGTGTGTGTGTGTGTTGTGTGTGTGTGTGTGTGTGTGTATGTGTGTGCTGTGTGGTGTATTGTCTAACTTTGATGTTTGCTTTGTCCAAGTGTATCTTTGTACATTTGTTTAGTGTGTGTGTACATGCCCATGGCATCTCTCTGTGTGTTTGGTGCACTGCATGTGTCTCTGTATATGTGTGCATTAGTTGAAGTTTTGAGGTGGATAAGGTATTGGGGTAATGCCAGAGGATAATGCAGGCTACAGGGCTGTTCCTTCCACACTCCTCAGGCTGCTCCATAGATGAAGGCTTCCACATATAGTTTGGGAGCAAGGCCTAGGGACTGGTGACATCTGACATGGCTTCTCTCTCTCTTTTCCTATTTTTTATCCTTTTAGGCCAGAAAACACAGAATGGCCTTCCTGATTACTGTCAACTCTGAGGGATCAGCATGTGCTCAGAGGTGGAAGGGAGATCTCTGTGGGAAATAAGACTAGGCCCTTGTTTTGGAAGTAGTAGAATTAAGGAAGCAAAAACCTAGTTACCAGGCTTGTGCACTCAATCCTTCGTTCCTTGCTGTCTCCTCCTCAGAGCCTGCTTGATATTTTCGTGGAAATGGAAAAGAGGCTCCTTCTGACAGAAAACAACTTGGACATCCTGAAGTTGATCTGTGAACAGGTCAACAAGAGCCTGCTGGAGAAGATTGAGGGTTATGAAAATTCAAGCAGAGGTAGGCAGCCAATGGCTGCAAGGTGGCAAAGCCCTGAGAGCCATGGCTGTTTCTGATCAAGCCCTTCCTTTTTAATTCAGAGAGAAGAATGAGCCTCGAAGCAAGGACAGATTCACCAGTTTCATTTTTAGATGGTAATACTTACTTTTAGATGCAAATGCACTTGATTTCCTCTTGCCCCTTCCTACCACCCTCTGCCACATCCTAATATCAGGGTGACAGTTTAGTGGTCACTTGTCACCTCTGCTGCTCCCTGGAAGATGAAAAGAATTTGCAAAAGCCCCATGAGAACATTTGAAATGAGCACAGTTATTCTATAAGAGTGTCTTAACTCTGTTCTGATTGTGTCTGCTTTTGTTTAGAGATGTGGGTAGCTAGATTCAAATGAGTTTTCAGAACATTCTTATGTTTTGATCAGTTTGAGATAGGGTTTTTTGTTTTGTTTTGTTTTTTACCTAGCCCTGGCTGTCTTGGAACTCTCTATGTAGACCAGACTGTCCTTGATATCACAGAAACTGCTGCCTCAAGTGCTAGGGTGAAGGCGTGTGCCATGCCACACCTGACTTTTCTTCCCAGAACATTCTTGATCAAGACTCTTTGCTCTGTGAGAGGCCCCTTGGCTAAGTATTAATAGTTCTTCTCTGTTAAGTCCAGGTCCCTGAATTCCTCGGCCATGTGGCTGCCTCAGCCTGGAATGCTCCAGCCATGTTCTCTGTCTTAACCCCCCCAAGGATCACCCTCCTTTAGAAATGAGGCCAAGTACCAGCCACTTCTCTCTGTCCATGCCTGCCTGAGTCCAGCTCTTTGGAAAGTTTGAGTCAGGGTCTGACTCCGCCTGACCCCTGCTTTGATCAATGACTGCTTAAACAAGGCAGTTTGCGCTTGGGTTTTCAGAAGCATGCTAAGTGTCCTTCCTACAGACATGCCTTAGTAGATAAAAGTGCTCCTTTCAGGCCAGGTGATGTGACTTTCATCTCTGGAACCCATGTAAGGGGAAGGAACCAACTCCTCAAAGCCCTTTTTGATCTCCACACACGTGTCATTCCATGAGTACTCCCTACATAAAGCATGTGTGCATGAATGCTCATGCATGTGCGTGGGCACACACACACACACACACACACACACACACACACACACACGCAAGCATGCTCACATGAAATGTTTTTAAGGTCCTTAGGTTGTCCTAAGTGTTACATATTTCTTTACCAAACAACCTTTGCCACCAAGCCTCTCATTCTGGGTATTTTTCTTGGTTGCTTGCAGGGGAGAGTCACTTCAGAATGCAGGAAATGTGGGACTCCCTACAAGAACAATGTAGCCACTCACAGGTACACCTCCTCACTCCCTCTGCATGGAAGTTTCTATTTCTTGTGTTTATTGGCTCCTCTTAAACTGCCAGATAAGCCAACAAGGGGCAGTGCCTTTTGGAACTTTTGAGAACTCTGGGAAAGAAAAACCTACAAAAGAACCAGTTTTCTTTGTGTTAAATTAGTTATCACTGTTACTGCTGTTCAGTTTGTTTGTAATCTGAGACTGAGTCTCCTATAGCTCAAACTGGCCTTGAACTCACTCTGTAGTTGAGGATGACCTTGAACTCCTGATTCCCATGACTTTACTTCCCGAGTGCTGGGATTATTGGTATGGGCCACCACACCGGTTCTAATTTTATAATAAAGCAAAGGAATTGTTGGGAGGTGGAGAGTGCTCGGGGCTTCCCACTTGTTCTAGCTGCTGTGTCCACTAAAGTGAGTGCACTGGGGGGGGGGGGGGGGGGGCTTCGAGAACAATGGGTTCCTGGGGCAGGAAGAGTTGCACTAGCAGGCCTTCTGTTTTAGCCTGACATCGCTGAGGGATCTGCTCCTTTGTGTTACACACAACAGGATCTCTTAGTTTTTGTCTCAGTGAAGCCTGTAGAAGGATTTCCTTCCTAGACATAGCTTCTATTTATAGTCTTCAATAATTCACCAATTACAGTTCAGCCCATTAGCCACCCTGTGGCAGGAAGCATGGAGCCCCTGGATACTTTGAGGAAGAATATGCACTAGGGTGGCTCCTGGGAAGATTAGCCAACACTGTGCGTTACTTTGAGACATCCAGACACTCTACAGTATCGTTCTCATCAAACAGCCAAAGACAGTATGTTAATATCTTAGTAACTGGCTGTATTACAATAGCAGGATAAATCTACTTAATATAAATAGGAGATACATGGGATAATAGCAAATACTGACTATACCCCGTGCTTCATAAAGTACTTCGTCATAGAAAACAGTGAAAAGTGAAGGATTTGTACAATATGAAGAGGAGCTCAGTGTGTTATATATTGTTAAACTCTAGATTAGCTAAATGGCCCAGAGTCCTAAAATTTTCAGCCATAGGAGGTGGCTTTTGTCCCCCTAGTCTAGGGTCTTTTCTGTACTTCAGGAGACAGCACGGGCTTCCAACTAAATACTGAGACTCTCAGCTTGAAACAGCCCTAAGAGAATAACCAGAATGCAGACCCCTCTGATGTTTACTGTCAAGATTCCATGAGCACAACTTGACTAGCTCCTTGCTCTCTACCTGCCACCCAGTACCTTTTCACTGGCTTAAGGCATCAACTTTCACCACCGAGAGACTGCACTATGTCATGTGTGAAGGGCAAGGCCCTCAGCTGTTAGCCAAGAAAGGCAGATGAGCTGGGTAGACCCCAGAAAGATTGCCAAGGTCATGGAGAGCCATCCCAAGAGGTCACCCTCGAGTGAACTCTGAAAGTCCCAGATGGCACAGATGTTATCTGGCCTGAAGCTCTTTTGGATGCCAAGGGAGGCTGAAGCAAGCACAGTGGTAATAAACTGTGATGTTATCAATGACGTATTTGACATGTGGGGTCCTTAGCAGGTCCAGACCCCCTTACTGTACAGCTCATCATTGGAGGAGCAGCAAGTAGCTTTTCAGGGAAATGACTCCAAATCTGGCTGGGGCAAGGGAAGGAAGGAAGCAATGCTTCCCAGGGGAGCTAGGCAGCAGTATAGCCTCTTCCTGGACAATTGCTATGGGCTGGTATCTGAGCCTCATCGTCAGCTCCCCAGACTCGGCTTTTGTTTTCCAGGTATCAGACAGAATTTACCAAATGAAGAGCAAACCTCGAGGATACTGTCTGATCTTCAACAATAATGATTTCAGCAAGGCGCGGAAGGACATACCCAAACTCCACAAAATGAAGGACAGGAAAGGAACAAACTATGATGAAGGTACAGCCAAATCCAAAGAGAGGCATGAGTAATTCTTATTCCTGTGGGGCTTTTTTTTTTTTTTAAATCAAAAAGGAGAGACAGTGGCCCTAAAGAGCCCTGTGTTTTGAGAAATGGAGTCATAGTTCAAGAAAATCTATCAAGCATTTTTTACTCGTTTTACTGCTATTTCCTTGTGGGGGTAAAGAACATTCTTACATATCCGTTAGTTCTGGTTTCCTAAAATTAGATTTTAAAACCACAGTAACACACTCATCATGATAAAATGACAACTCTTACTTTTTAACAAAGAGCATTGTGAACTTTAAAAATCTTTAAGTTTTATTTTACTTTTTATTTGTGTGTGTGTATGTGCCCCTATGTGAGTATGCTCATGTGTATGTGGATGTCCCTGGAGTCCAGAAGAGGAGAACATCACATTCCCCCAAATGAACCTGGGTCCTCTGCAAGAACTCTTTACCGCTGACCCATCTCCACAAGCCCAAGCTTTCCTTTTAATTCAACTGAATGAAAAGTGCTTTTGTAAAATGAATTAGTCCAGAACATTTGCTGTGGTATCAGAGTAACTGCAGGGATTTTGCTCATAAAAGTTATTCTATTGCAGCAGGAGTTATGAGTGCCCAACAAAACACTAAACTATCCAGAAATGTTTGGAGCAGCCTATCAATAATCCATAACATAAGAATAAAAAAAATGGGGGCTGGAGAGATGGCTCAGTGATTAAGAGAACTGAATGCTCTTCCGGAGAACTTGGGTTCAATTCCCAGCACACACAGGGTACTCATGATTGTCTAACTCTAGCTCAGTGTGATTTGATACCCTCACAGACTTACATGCAGGCAAAAACCCTAATGTATATGAAATTAAAAAATAAAAGGATTTATTTTAAAAAATCAATTAAAAATGATCATCGCTAAAAATATTAACAGAAAGAAAACCAAACAGGTTACTCCAGGTCTTGGAGAATAGGAATGGACACAAGAGCTGATGCAAGGTTTGAAGACATTTTTGGAAATAAGAGAGGAGAGACCGTGTATATATAAGACAGAACAGAGGGAGGTATAATCTAAGCGATGTGGAGGGCAGTACAACAGAAACAAGTTTATTTACTCCATAGAGCCCTGGGAGAACTCAGGAGTCAGAAGTACATGGTTTAGGTGAAGCAATGAACTACAGAGGGAGGGTTTGTTGAACACTTACAGAAGACACGGCACGTGAACCCCAGATCCGCCACCTAGAGACAGGTTGCATTCTACCCTCATACAGAGCAGAGAGAGCATGCTCATTAAGTTTGGCCACAGAGACTCTAGATTGGGGTACTAGGTCCAGCAAAAGAAGCAGTGTAGCACTGTGTAGAAAAGAGATAGTAAAGAATATGTAATGTACCAGATGCAGGAAGTCAGGCTTCTAACCCAAGTTGTCCCCAGAATACTGTAGATACGGATTGTCATCTACAGATAATAAGCTCTGGTGCCTCATCCAAGCAACTGGCGGCAAAGTCCCTCAGTGAACAGCCACACTCCAGATACACAGCTTTCTGCCAATCTTTTAGTTGACCCGTTAGTCAATATCAAAGAAAGGAAATGCAAACAAGAAAATACAGCGAAGTAAATGAAACATTGCAGAGAAAAACCTTTAAAATCTGTACTTAATATTCTCACAGAGATTAATAAAAAAAGATTAGTAAAGTGGTATGAAAAGAGAAAAATAATTAAAAATGAAATGTATAGGACCATTGGGCTGGAGAGATGACTTAGCAGTTAAGGGCACTGGCTGCACATTCAGAGGACCTGGGTTCAATTCCCAGCACCATATGGTGGCTCACAACCATCTGTATATAACTCCAGTTCCAGGGTATCTGATGTCTTCTTCTAGCCTCTGCAGGCACCAGGCATGCTTGTAATGCACACACATGCATGCAAGCAAAAACACCCATACATACAAATTGATGATTTAAAAAATGTGAAATTGGTGAGCAACAAAACAAGAATAGGGGGGGCAGGTAAAGTCTAAGAAGGCTGGACAGAAAGAAAACGGCAATGGCAAGTGGGAGCGAAAGGATAAGACAACACACGAGTACTAGTCAGGGATGTCTGACCTGTGACTGTGAGTTCCACAAAAAGAGAACAAGGAGCAGAACTTTCCAAGAAGACAGTGAGCAGTCTCCAGGCTGCAAGAGCCCACTGTATCTTAGAAACTGAGAGGGAAAGAGGGGGAGGTTTGGGGGAAAGGTATGTAAAGCAGCCAGGGACCAAAATGTCATTGGATGTCTTAATAGTGAATCTGGAAGCTAAGGTGACAATTCAGATGGAAGGGGCTTTGGGGAAGAATACTCTCTATAGCCAAACAATCAGAAAGAATCAGATGCAAGAGCTCAACAAGCTTGAGTCTTGTGCGCAGGGCTTTCAGTAGTAAACATTAGACGCCGGTAGGGTCCAGTTAGTAGGACAGAGGGCCTTGCCAGGCTCAGCCTCCTGCCTGCCAGTGTTTTATCCATCTTGGGCTGTGTTCTGGGAACTGTTGTAATAATATGGTTTCCTCTTTCCCTTTCAGAGGCGTTGACTGAGACCTTTAAAGAGCTTCATTTTGAGGTTGTGCCTTACAGAGACTGCACGGCCAGTAAGATCCATGACGTTCTAGGATCCTACCAAAGCATGGACCACAAGAACAAAGACTGCTTCGTCTGCTGCATCCTGTCCCACGGAGACAAGGGCATCATCTACGGCACTGATGGGAAGGAAGCCTCCATCTATGAACTGACATCTTATTTCACTGGTTCAAAGTGCCCTTCCCTGGCTGGAAAACCCAAAATCTTTTTTATTCAGGCTTGTCAGGGGGATAACTACCAGAAGGCTGTACTTGTTGAGACTGACTTGGAAGAGAAGGACAGCTTCTTAGATGTGGACTCATCTCAAAAGAACTATATTCCAGATGAGGCTGACTTTCTGCTGGGAATGGCTACTGTGAAAAACTGCGTATCCTACCGAGATCCCACACAGGGAACTTGGTACATCCAGTCACTTTGCCAGAGCCTGAGGGAAAGATGTCCTCAGTGAGTTTTGCCTTCTGGGTCCTTTTCAGGGTTACACTGCCTTACTCACTGCCATAGTTAGAGCCTGTTAGGAGGTGTTTGTAGTTGAGATAATGTGTACCAAGCAGAGAAATGCCCATGGGGAGTTTTTCATCTCTGAATGGGACTCATGTAGCTGCATTTCCCAGGTCAGTTGCAAAGTGGGAGAGATGGCACATACTACTTTCTTTAGTTCATGGATGGGTTAGACTAATATATTTACTGGGGAGTCTCCTTTGTTCAGCACCACAGAGCTGGAGAGGACACTGATATCACACAGTCCTGCTCTCTGTCTTTGGGCAGCAACATGACAGAGGCAACCCAACTGCTTTGGGGAGTCTTCTAAGATGAAAGCGATTCACTTCAACATATTTAAACTTTGTCAGACATTCTATTCTAGGGCTGACAAGATGGCAAGGTGCATAAAGGCACTTGCTGCCAAGTCTGATGATTTGAGTTCAATCCTAGGATCTACATGGTGGAAAGAACTCCTTCAAGTTATTCTGTACCTCCACATGTATGCTCTCTCTCTCTCTTTCTCTCTCTCTCTTTCTCTTTCTCTCTCTCTGTCTCTCACTCTCACACACACATACACACATAAATAAGTAAATACAAATTTTTAAAAACCAGAAAAGAATCCAGTATCTGTCTAACCTTCACTCTTCTTAGCAAAGTGTGGGATGAGTGAAGAGTAGAGACCCTTGTTTCTACTGATTTGATGTGTTTTTAAGCCACAAATGTGGGACTAGGGCCCTGTGACATCTGGTCCATCTTCAGTTAAATTAGGGCTCTGTATATTTTGGGGTTCCCCACATGCACCCCACAGCTGAACAATGAGGAGCCTTTCTATGAGATTCTTTTAGATCTGTGTCTTGTTGTTTCCAGTGTATGAGGAGTGAGAATTCCCCGTGGCATGTGGAGAGTAGACCATAACATCAGTGTGGAGGTTTCTTTTGTAACACAGACTGTGAGTCTGGCAGGATCTGTGTCAGCTTCACAGAGACATAAAGAGGTTGCCCAACAAGATTGCTCAGACAGTTGGCAGCAAAGGGGTGGAGATGGCTGCAGGAAGCATTTGACTTTCACTCGCCCAAATTTTGGTAAAGATCTGTGCATGATTCTATAGGAGCATTGCTGATGTAGGTGGAGGTCACTGGGAGATGTTGAGGCATTTGTGGGGCCCAAATGACAGTGTGTGGGATACATTGAGGAACACACATATTAGGAGGGGAGGAGGTCCATTCTGAAGGGAATGCTGAGGCTTCTTGTAATCAGCAGAGATCCCGAGTAAACAGAAGGTAATTCAGTGTGCTCTGAGGAAACAGGGTTGCTAGGACAGATGTGGTAGGTCTTGATTCTCACAGGCCTGGGAGACAGAGCTAGAGAACTTGGGCACAGCTGGAGAGACCTTGGGTGCTGTGTTCCCCTGGATCAACAGCGTATGTTGCTCTGTTTTTCAGAGGCGACGATATTCTCAGCATCCTGACTGGTGTGAACTATGATGTGAGCAATAAAGACGACAGGAAGAACATGGGGAAACAGATGCCTCAGCCCACCTTCACACTACGGAAGAAGTTGTTCTTCCCTCCTAACTGATGTGTGCTCTACAAGGTTGACATTGTGTCAGGCTATGCACTTTTGTTGGGGGGGTGAGTTTTAATTTATTTTTTATGATTTATTTTGAGATATAATTTCATTTACCTCTTCCCTTTCCTCCCTTCAAACCTTCTCACATAATCCTCTTTGCTGTCTTTCAAATTCATGGCTTTTTTTTTTCATTAATTGTTGTTACATGAATATATATATTCTTTTTCAAAAACACAACAGGCTCAGTCTGTATACTGTTACTTGTATGTCTGTTTTCAGGGCTGACCATTTGGTACTGGACAACGAACTGTTGAGCTCTTCCCTGGGGAGACTGTTTCTCCTACTCTCTGCGTTCCTCAGTTACCTGTAGTTCTTTGTGTATGTCTTTAGTTTTTAAAAAAAATTCCCTTTTAATTCCAAGCGAGTCTGCTTTTGGATGTGAGTTCTACAAAGACCATGAAGACTGTATAAATCCTTGCCTATCATTACATCCTTAAAAGGGTATTAAAAGTTGGATATCACCCCCCTCCACACACGTACACACACATACACACACTATGCAGGGTTTCTCTGTATAACAGCTCTAGCTGTCCTAGAACTCGATTTGTAGACCAGGCTGACCTCAAATTCACAGAGATCTGTCTGTGTCTGCCTCCAGTGTGCCAGGATTAAAGGTGTGTGCCACCGCTATGACCCAACTGAAAAGCAGGAATTTTAAGTCCAAAGCAGAAGCTTGATAAATCAAACATCAGTTCTAAGGTGGTACTCTGAAACCAGGAAGGTTGTATACTAACCACACTGGCTCCTATTTACCAGCTCCATGTCAGTTTGACAGAACATTCTGTAAACATTAGGTTCCACATCTGTAAAGTAGGAGCAATGAAATTCCTTGATCAGCACAGACCTTGGTACAGGCATGGTGTGTGCTAAACGCTCAGACAGCACCCTGGCCATTTTATTGTTTCTTCCTAGCTGAAATGGATATTTTCCCATTCTTGTACCTTGGAAAGAGGGATTGTATTTGTTATTTTTGTGTTTGCTGGTGGTTATCAAAGCTGTGAGTTGTGATGTGTAGGTTCTTGTGTCCTGGAACAAAAACCTGAACAGAGACAATGGCAGTTTTATAAGCTAGAATACACTTCTAAGACAGCAAGGGGGCCAGCTGGGAAGAGGGTTCACACACACATACATGGAGTGTGAAGAATGGTTTGGGAGAATAATAACTTTCAAGTTGTACATTTTCATATTATTTATAACAGAAGCACAGCCATACACAGTACAACACTTTCCTGGACAAAACAGGATAGTTGCACACATGGTGTCAAACCTGTCACGACAGCATACACAAGCCCTTGCAAGCTCAAGTCAGACAAAGTCCCCGCATGGACGTGGGAGGTAGGCACGGAAGACCAGTCAGCATCTGATAGCTGCTAAGAAAGGGAGAGTCAGTAGTTCGTGTGTTTGTTTTTAAAGGATGTGACCCTGGCAGGCCAATCACATTCCAAGGCAGCCCTACTCCCAACAAATTGGATTCCATGGGTTTACAAAAAGAAACCCTGAAGCTGGGTAGGTAGGAAAAGTAAGATGGGAGAGGGTGGATCTGGGACAAGTTGGGGAAATTCTATATGAAATTCTCAAAGAATTAATTGAATATTAATATTCGTCTAGGTCAGTTTTCATTTAAGGACACTAGTTCTGAAAGTGTCTCCTTCCAGGGTAATCTCCTGACCAATTGAAACCCCTTCAGACAGAGAGCTGTTGGGAAATGTGTGTGTGTGTGTGTGTGTGTGTGTGTGTGTGTGTGTGTGTGTGTTGGTAAAAAGAAAAGGCTCCCTCAGGTTTTTGCAGGGAATAACTTTAAAATAGGTACATAGCTAAGTTTACTTGGTGCAATTCAGACATAAACTTGACTGGGATGAGGAGGCAGCTCTGCAGTTTAAGTATTGCCAAACAAGTGTGAGGACCTGAGGTCTTGTTGACCCTGCTATAACTCCGCACTTGGAAGGTGGAGATGAGATCCCTGGAGCAAGCCGTGTAGCCAGACTAGCAGTATCTGGGGCTCTGGGTTCACCTAAGAGACACTGCCTCAATGATGAAAGTAGAGAGTGACTGAGGAAGACCAAACGTGTATGCAAAAACATGTGTACTCCCACACATGTGCTTTTGCATGTGAACATATATATACATACATATACATACACATGAGGAAAGTTAAACTTACCAATTTTAATATTGCTGTTATATCTTCAATAAATATATGCAGTGTTCTTGTGTTTTAAAAAAATGTGCAGATGAGGGCTGGTGAGATGGCTCATTGCGTAAGGGGGCTTGCTGCCAAGACTGATGACATGGTATGATCTCTGGGACCAACATGGCAGAAGGGAAGAATTGACTCCTATAAGCTATCTTCTGGTTTCCAAAGCACACAACACAGGGATAGATAAATTGATGTAAACAAAGTTTAAGTAAAACTGAAGCCAGTCGTGGTGGACCACAACAGAACACTTGAGAAGAGGCAGGAGGATCAGGAACATAGTGTTATCCTCAGCTACCAAATGAGGCCAGCCTGGGCTACACGAGACCCTGTTTCAAAAAAAAAAAAAAAAAAAAAAAAAAAAAAAAAAAAAAAAAAAAAAGGAGTAAATTGATTTTTATTAGTTTATAGGTATAGTTTATAGTTTATATAGTTTATAGGTAATTTATGGGTTTTAAATTAATGTAATTCTCCTTAATGGTCCATTAGAAAATTCTATTTTTCTTTCTGGAAGTCTTTTGTTTGTTTGTTTGTTTGTTTTTTTGACTCAGGGTTTTACTGTGTAACAGTCCTGGCCATCTTGGAACTCACTCTGTAGACCAGGCTGGCCTCAAACTCACAGAGATCTGCCTGCCTCTGCCTCCCAAGAGCTGGGGTTAAAGGTGTGCACCACCACTGTCCATCTTCTGGAAGTTTTATAGAAGAAGACTTTTAAAAAGTTTTATAGGATATTAATATTAAAACAAACTGGTTTTAAAAGCTATTTTATTAGAAAATTCTCACAAATAAAAAAACGTGAAGAAGGTAGTAGAAGCATGGCTAAGGCGTGTGTGACCCCATCCCACTTTAGTAGCTGTCCTGTGGCCTGTCCTGACTGCCCCTACCTGCCTGCCTCAGGGGGACTGGCTGGAGTCCCATCAAAGTGGGATACTTTTACCTCTGTCTATGTTAGAGACCCAAGTGTCTCTAAAGATGAAGCACTTTTTAGACACTAAATAACAATCAATATTCAAAATACCCCCAATCTTCTTGCACTTCTAGAGTTTGAATAATGATCTAGCAAGTCTACATCTTGAATTTTGTTTGTATTTCAAATTCCATAAATTTTTTTCTATATTTTCATATATCTTTTTAAAAGAAACTGAGTTTGTTGTACAAATTTTTCTTTAGTATATATTTTACTGAGTATGTATTGATAGAATGATACATTTTTTTCTGTGACCTCCTAAATAAATTGTCAGTGAGAAGTAGAGCACATTGTAAATTGACCTTCCTGTTTCTAGGGGATACTTTTATTTGCCTTTGCTGTGTTTCTGTTTTTTGTTTGCTTGACAAATGGCATGTTCACAAAGGGGAACATTCAGCTCCTACTATTCGGCTTCCACCACCGTCTAACATTCACTGTTGACACTTAAAAGGAGCACTTACACACAAAACCCAGAATTTGCCCAGGCTGTGGCAGTGCACACCTTTGATCCCAGCACTTGGGAGGCAGAGGCAGGAGGATCTCTGAATTTGAGACCAACCTGGTCTATAGAGCGAGTTCCAGGACAGCCAGGGCTACACAGAGAAACCTTGTCTTGAAAAACAAACAACCCCACCACTACCACCAAAACCAAAACCAGGATTTGTTTTTTAAATCATAGTGACCCCATGCACCCAAATGGCCAGCAATCCAATAAGTTTAAGAAGTAGCATGATCAGATATGGTTTGGCTCTTAGTTCACCTGGGTTTCCCTCTCACTGCGGGATTAACATGCTGCTTGTGTGATGGAGTCCCTTGTGTCCACTCCACACCCTTGTAGATGTTGCCTGCCCTGTGGGCATTTGAATACTCATAATCAGAGACAGGGTAGCCATCAGTTACTCTTCCTGGGTCATTGGGAAGAGAAGAATTTTTTTTTTTTTTTTAAATTAGGTCAATGAATGGTCTTGCTTGCTATTTGCCCTCAGGGGACAAGAGTCACACCTCAAAACACATCATTTAATAAGCAGTCCCTTTCGACCTGTATCTGATCAAAATATATAAAAAGCAGAAAAATGAGTGCACAGCCCACAGAAGGTCCAACCCCAGGACAGAGGACACCCATTTTCATAGAGAGTCACCATGTAATTGAGATAAGAATTCGAACATTTCTAACCACTCTGGAGAAAGCAAATTGTACAAAAGGCAAAAATAAAGACAGAACAACCCATCTGTGTCTCTCCAGAAACCCTTGCTGGAGGCTGTGTTGCTGCCGGTCCAGCCATGGAGCACAGTTTGTTATCTACTGAGCTTGCTTCTTGTTGCTGCTGTGTTCGGCAAAGTCAGGCTCATGCATGTAAGGAGTAGTGGAGGCTGACTTCTCTGATACTTCTTCAGAAGTTTCCTCATTCTTGGCCATGATCTTTTGCCTGTAAAAAATGACAGTGCATCAGTAGATGGGATGCAGGGTGTTTGCTGGTAAGACAGAGAAATGTGGTTTGCTTTCTGCCCGAGGAAGCAGTCTCTCTCATCACTGCAGTTGCTTTAAATCTGGTGAAATGTGGAGTATGGGTGATCATATATATTCCCAACGGAAACTGCTGCGGTGGGAACTAACTTACGTTAGTGGTGTAAGAGGCCCCTTCAAGGGCTGGAGAGATGGCTGGGCCATTAATAACACTGGCTGCTTTCCCAGAGGTCCCAGGTTCAATTCCCAGTGCCCACATGGTATGCCACCACTGTCTGTAACTCCAGGTCCAGGGGATCTGACACCCTCATACCAATGCCTTTAAAATAAAACTGTGTGTGTGTGTGTGTGTGTGTGTGTGTGTACACACACCCAGACAGAGACACAAAACACTCTAAAAAAAAGAAGCCCCTTCAGAGAACAGTGGCTTTGGTCGGCAGCTGGTCTCAACAGGAACCAGAAGTGCCAAATCTGAAAGTTCAAACTCATGGAACTCTGAAAAACAAGCCTTAGTCACAGGACAAAGCAGCTCAGAAATCCATAGGCAAATTTCCCATGTTTTACACAAAAACAGACTCAAGGGAGAGAATTCTAGATACATCACAGACGAACTGCCCACCTCAGACCAGCAGTCTACCTCCATGACAAGTGTGTGTCCAGGCCCAGTTCCATACCTCCTCCCAAATGATCAGGGCTGTGACATTGCCAGGAGACCTGTTTTGTCTTGACTGAGTCCTCACTTGGACACCTTCTTGCTCTGGGAGGTGACTCAGCCATGTCCCCCGGAGCAGTGGCACCCGTACCTGAGGCTGGCGTTTTCTTCTGTCAGGGTCTGTATGGTGTACTTATACTTTTCTTCAGCCTCAGCAAGCTTCGTCTGGAACAGCTTCTCCAGATTTCCCACTATAGTTTTCTAAAAGATAAATTTGAGCAGCTGTCTTTCCCCAGAACCTGTGTGCCGAGGCTCTTGGGCAGAACAGAGCAGTGCCCTGGCTTCCTCTGCAGCCCGGTCCTCTCTCTATCCAGGACTCACCTCTCTCTGGAGCTCCAGCTGGCAATGGTAAAGGCTCGTATTAAGTGTCTCCAGAATGGTAGACTGTGCCTGCAACTCAGCCTCCAAGATCTGCACGAGAGAAAACTTCCTCAGGACGCCATGCTGATGCAATGTCCCTGACACAGACGAGGACGGAGTCCCTCGTGGGAACACTTGGAATAGGACGGTGTGCCAACTTCAGCTACTTCCTCTTGTACACTTACAGCCGGCCAGTCACCATGCTGTCTTCTCTGTCCTTCTGCTCTCACCTGTACCTAGCTCTTGAGTCCCACTGTCACTGCTGGCAAGGCAGCCCTCAGCAGAGTACCAGTGAGAAGTCACAAGGCCAGTGGAATTCAGAGATCCACTGCCTCTGCCTCCTGAGTGCTGGGATTAAAGGCGTGTGCCACCACACCGGGCTAAAGATTTATTTTTAGAATGTAATAGTTTTATTAATTTTTGAGAATTTCATACATACGTATAATGTAACTGATCATATTAATTTACCATTTCTCCCCTAACTAGACCCACATTTGCCCAAATTTGTGTTCTCTTTTAAATTTTAATATTAATATTTCATTTGTATTGTTGTGTGTGTGCACGAATGCATATGCAGAAGACATTGTCCCTGACGTTGTCCTCAGGGCTCAGCCTGTCTTTCTGCCTCTACACACACCGTCCTCTCTTCATTATGTCAGGGTTAGGATTCCATCTCTCCTCGTTCAAATTCTAAGATTCAGAGATACCTATCTGTATCCAAATACCAAAAACCACACCACAACCCTTGCTGGCCTGTTGCCTGAGTGCACCCACCATCCGCAATGGGGCCAATGAATGGTTCTTTCCGCTGAAGGAATGATATCATACTTATATTTTATTGTAAATATATCTTTTTTTTTGCCTGCCATGGTGGTGGATGCCTTTAATCCCAGCACTCAGGAGGCAAAAACAGGTGGATCTTTGTGAGTTCAAGGCCAGCCTGGTCTACAGAGTGAGTTTGAGGACAGGCTCCAAAGCTACAGAGAAATCCTGTCTCAAAACAAAAACAAAAAACAAAAACCAACAACACCACAAAAAACAAAAACATATTAGTGGTAAAAAAAAATGTTCCTTTGCTGAATTTATCTACTTAGGTGATTATAAATTTATGCAGAAAAGCAAGATGGAGAAAAAGAAGTGTTGGAACAGAGAGCTGAGCCTTTAAATAGTGACTCCCGAGAGGCTGCCTTCTGAGCAACAACCCGAAGAGGGAAGAAAGTTTGCGATGGAAGTTTCTGGGAAAGAGATGTCTAGGAAGACACTTATCAAAGGCAAAGACCCCCAAGGCAGGAGCTCTCTGTCCCTTTAAAGAACCAAGAAGAACCCCAGTGACTTAGGAATGGAGTGATGGAAGGTGGAGATAGAGGAGATGAATTGATGGAGAGAAGGGAGCAGTGGAACAAGCCTTCAGATGACACAGGGCTGAGAGTAATTCACAGTCCTGCCAGGCAGGGTGGGGCAAACCCAATGCAGAGGAGTCTGGAGGACCCTCAGAAGGGGTCACTTTACACTAAGGTTTAATTCCAACTAGCAAGACTTGAAAAGACCAAACTGTTCCCAAACCATATAACTGCATCCTGGAACAAGGTTTGTGAGCATTTAAACTTTACATTTTAAAGAAATATAAACATATTAATTTCCCATCAAGCTAAGTGTGGTGCCTTGAAAGAAAATGGTATTATTGGGCATTATTAGGAGTGGCATCATAGGAAGCATGGCCTCATTGGAGGAAGTGTGTCACTGTGGAGGTGGGCTTTGAGGTCTCATATATGCTCAAGCCACACCCAGTGAGACAGAGCACTTCCTGTTTCGTGCATGATGTAGGACTCTCAGCTACTTCTCTAGCACCATGTCTGCCTGCATGTCACCATGTCCCACCATGATGATAATGGGCTAAACCTCTGGTAATGGGCTAAACTGTAAGCCACCCAATTAAATGTTTTCCTTTGTAAGAGTTGCTGTGATCATAGTGTCTCTTCATAGCAATAGAAACCCTAAGATAATAAGCTACACAATGACCAGCACCTGCTAAAAACTCACCAGGCTTGCAAACAAAACAAATCTGAATGGAAACAGACTCAGATGTTATACCTATAGAATTAATGGAGAAGCTCACAAGGGCTGTTCTCAGAACACACGAGAAGTCCCTAGCTCCGAGGCTGCCTCCTGTGCTTGTAGGATGCTGCAGTTTGTTTGGCCCTTACATTGCTGGCCCTGCCCGGGCTTGAAGATAAGATTTCTTCATGATGTTTGTGCAGTGAGTAATCTTTTTTTGTAGACATGTCTATTCTGTATACAAATTAGATTTTCAGAGAAAAGGAAAACAGAAGTTACTTTTATTTAACAGATTTTTTTTTTCCATCTGCCTTCACAAATTCATCGCCTTGTATGTCTCAGCAGAAAGGGAGCCCTGCAGAAACTGCCATACGTAGGGTACACCCAAAAGAGGGGCTTAGGGACAAAGATCTGCAGAAGACATTTGGAGGGTTCAGGCTCAGAGGGAAGAACATGACGTTTTCAGCTTTGCTAGACACAGAAGTTATTCAGCATCGATGACCACAGGGCAGATTGCTGATGTATTTGTTCACAGCTGGCTCTGAGAAAGGCTGCATGTGTTTTACATACAGGTCAAGACTTATTTTAACTTACTGAGTCCAACACTTAGATTTAGGTGCCCCACTAATTTTACTGGTCTGGGTAAACACTAATTTTACTGGTCTGGGTAAATTCAAATTTCATTTTCTTTGAGAGCGTATCATTTGCAAGACACTAGTTTCATGGCGATGCTTACCTCCTTGGATCTTCTCAGCTCCTGCATTTTCAAGGTATCTTCATCATGTTGTTTGATGAGCTCCTAAAAACAATTTTATTTGGAAAGGTCAGCACTGTGGTTCTAGATATTCTTTTAGAGAATTAAGAAGCCACTGGGGGATTCAGGAATATAACATTCACTGAATTTACTTGTTATCAATGGAGATGTTGCCTTTTGAAGTAATAAAATGAATATCTTATTTAACTTCATTATATATATATATATATATATGAGATGACACGTACATATATGACAATCTCTAAAATTTACCCAGAAATGAAAAATAATGAAGAAAAGTAATAATTCATCTTGGAAAATAATACCAAAGCTAACCAATCAATAAAATGAAGTAACAGGAGGAAAAACAAAACAAAAAAAGCAAAGTCCGACTATCTGTACTAACTGGCTCTAAATAGCACTAAGACAACACATTGTTGGCTTCAGTGTAGATAAACGGTTAAGTGGTTAAGCAGAGTGGGAAAGAGAATCTTGTCCTTCACTCCAAGGACATCAAGACAGCTCAATGAGGAAGGAAAGTTACTCTTTTCAGAAATGATGATGGAATAATTGTATATCCATAAAGAAAAAGATCTATGACTTCTGTATCATTCTGTACACACACACACAAAAAATATTCAGCATGGGTCATAGAATCAGAAATGCTTAAATTATAATGCTTCTCAAAAGAGAATATATTCATGGCTTTATGATAGGCAACAGTGTTACGGGGAAGACAGAAAAAGCTTTTAATTATAAAAAGAAAAGGTTTAAACTTGTCTTTTGTCACAATTAGAAATTTCTGCCCATTGAAAGATAACATTTCCAAAACAAGAAAGCAAACCTACAGGCTGGAAGTTATTCTTTGCAACATGTATACGTAATATTTGTATTCATATCCTTTAAATGATAGGAGAATTGAGCAGATACATCAAAGAAGATAGTAATATGTTAGGGCTACGCCCTCCCATCTGAAAAACTGGCCAATGTGTTTGTTTATCAGAGAAACTACACAGAGTGAAATGCCCCTTCACACCCACTAGAAAGGAATGCACCAGCTGTGGAGGATTTGGTGCAGTCAGAATTCACGTATTTAAGATCTAAGAGTAAACAACACTTCTGCCGTGGAAACCCCCCATTTCCTATGTATATCCTGGAGCTTTAGTAGCACTTCAAGATAAGTTAAGAGCTTATGTCTATGAAACATATATCTATGTTAATAGATGCTCTGGTTAAAAGCCAATAAATGGAAATAATCCAAATATTTCAAACCAGGAAAACAATAAACACATTGCATGACATTTCTACAGAGGAAGATTTCCCAGCAGTGAGAAGGAACAGCAGGATAAGGTCTTATGCTTGCAATCCTAGTGCAGGGAGGCTAAGGTAGGAAGATCAGGAGCTGAGGGTCAGCCTGGGTTACACATCAGTTGAAGTCCAGCCTGGGCTATACAGAAAGATCTGTCTTAAAACACCTTAACAAAAGATATATATGAATATGAAAATAAAATTACTCAATTTCATCCATGTTATTTTGAGGGAAAAACTATACATAAAGGAGCATAACCATACGGTTTTGTCTACATTAAATTTTAAAACCTGAAAACCTAGCACTAGTTTGAGCTTGCTGGGCCAGAAGTACAATAGGGTATGTTCACTGTTTCTCGTCCCCTCAACTGCTTCCTGGTCCCCCGGGTCTTTACTGCTCTCCTGTTGCCTCCTCTGAGGGTGGGGCCTGAGGCTGGAGGTGGGGGTGGTATCTGTGCCCTCATTAGCCCACCTCCGGGGTGCAGCAATCCTGCAAATAGCAGTGATCTCCCCGTGGGCATCAGAGTTTTCTACTGGGTGAAGGTGATGGTGGCAAGAAGGATGAGGAAGCTGGGGACAGAGACGAGGCTGACTCGGTGGTGAAGACGGGAAACCTGCAGGAAATGCAGTGATGGGCTCCAGAAAATACGAGTCAGAGGATGGTCAGGACGGAAGCAGGAGCTTTCTATCCATGCTCTGACCCCACAGGAAGGGGTGTCTGTTGAGAAAACTTGGGGCAGAATTTCACCAACTGTGAAAGGGAAGGACGTGGAGGGACATGAAAAAAAAAAAAAAAAAAAAAACAAGCTTGGTAAGTACAGAAGTTCTTTGTATAGTTCTATAGTTCTATAGAACTACTATATGTTCTTTTATTGTATAGTATTGTTTTAGCTATCCTGGGTTTTTGGCTTTTCCATATGAAGTAGAGTTTTTGTTTTGTTTTCATTTGTTTGTTTGTTTTTGCTTTTTGAGACAGGGTTTCTCTGTGTAGCTTCAGAACCTGTCCTGGAACTCACTCTGTAGACAAGGCTGGCTTCAAACTCACAGAGATCCTCTTGCCTCTGCCTCCCTAATGCTGGGATTAAAGGTGTGCGCCACATGCCTGACTTGATAGTAATACTATTAAAAATAAATTTCACTAGCAGAGAGAAAAATCAGCAAGGAAATCAGAGAAAGAGTGTCTGTACAGAAAGGCAAAGGGGAAACATTAAGTGTGAGAAAAGCAGCTGGGGGAAGGAGGAAGAAAGGAGGAGAAAATGAACAGTCACAAATCAAGTTGAGGAGGAAAGGGAAAGTGGGTGAGTTGAGGGTGGCTGGAAAATGCCACACCTTCAACTAAACCAAGCTACAGTTAGCTACAGAAAGCCAACTGAAGGCTCACAGGTCTCCACAGTGGAACCCAGGTCCCGAGCCAGCCTGTTGTTACAGTTTGAGACAGCAGTAAAAAGACTCAATCTGGGTCCTAACTTGCTAAACGTGTTGATATTGCTAACCGGACAACAGCCTCTGAGCTGTCCAAAGGGTGAGAGAAGGATTTTCAAGGTGAAAACCCACCGAAAGAGTGAGTTATCTGCACAAGCAAGCCAGGGTTTGTTCTGCTGTGTCAAGATGAGGCAACCAAGGCAACCTCAAAACCGTCCTTGACTGTCTGCTCAAGAAGGTTCCAGAAGTCAGGAAGGAGTTAGTCATATCATAATAAGCAGATGGTCACAGCCGGACATTTCTGGGTGGAGGTCACTGGGTCAAGGTTACTGGGAACTCGTCTTCAAGGGACTGGAGTAAGGAGACACAAATGGATAGTGGGTACCAAGATGGACACCTAGCATAAAATGGAGTTTCTTTAGCCATTACACTGTCACACTCTGTCCCACTGGAGCTCATCTATATGGCCCCTTTCAAAACAACCAAGGGACTGTCAGAAAGAGGAATACCCAAGTCATCACGACCACCTCTGGTGACTCATAAGGACAAAGCGAGCTTTGTGCCCAAAGATGGGCACAGTTCAGAGACAGTGTATGGGGAAAATAGCATTCCTTTACCTGGAGCTACCTAAACCTAAAAATCAGAATTATTAAAAAACCCTGCTCAGTTGTGTGATGATTGACAAGCCCCAGCTTTTGTCTTGGTATCCACATTGCCCTTAGAGATTCACTGAGGATATTTTCTATGTTTGGTTTTTATAAACTTTTTAAGGTTGTTTTTGGCATGTTGTAGGATGACTAGCAATTGTGTTTGTGTTTATTTTATAATAAATTATGCTATCACAACAAAAACAACAGTTGTTTTTTTTAACAAAACAAAAAACTAATGATAAATCTAGTCCATGGAGGTTGAAACCGAAAGAGTGGTTGTCTGGGGGCAGGTGTGATGGAGATGGGCTCAATGGAAGAGGAAATAGCATGATAGTTAGAAATGCATACATGAATGAAATAGTCAAAATATCCCAAATATTGCAAACTCTCCATTTTGCATGAAAAGGATGGAGGAAACTAAGAACGCTTACAGCTTGTAGATGTAAAGGTGATACCTAAGATTTGGTCCCAGAATGGTCCTCTGCTCTGGCTGCCTGATGGTGGCAATGGTTACAGGTCTCCCCCTTCCCCATAACATCACTCCATGTGCTTCAAGCAACTCTTTAGTGAAGCCAAAAGCTCAGAGATCTGTCATGTGAAGTGTTTGGGCTGACATTAACACATGTTTACTTAGTCAGTGTCTATTTTTTGGGAAAATCTTGTCTAGAACTTTCTTATTGGTTAGCAGGTATGTGGATCTTCTCTTATTTTAGCTCCTAGGTAGATACTTTTATTTACTAGGATGGGGTGGGGGGCATTCAGAGATGCAATGTTGGCAAACCATGGCACTTTAGAGGTTTTACATGTTTAGTGTACAGCTATTTCCTATTAATTATAATTTTCATTCCAAAAATCCTGTGTTAAGAGTGCCTGGCTATAAAGAACCCTGAGATGATCAGTCTCCTACTTAGCTTCAGCTGTCAACTTAACACAGCTCAGAGTAACTTGAGAGGTCTCAGTTTGGGGATTGTCTCCATCAAATCGGCTGGTGGGCATGCCTATGAGGCCTTTTCTTGACTGCCAATTGATGTAGAAGCCAGTTGATGTAGAAAGGCCCAGACTACTGTGGGTGGTAACATCCCTAGGCAGGTGAGTCTGGGCTGTATAAGAAAGAGTAAGCCAGTAAGCCTTGATTTCCTGCATTAGAAGTTGATGGACTGCAACCTGAAAGATGAAATAAATCCTTTTCCTTCAAATTGTTTTTGGTCATGGTTTATCACAGCACCCAAAGCAAACTAGAACAGCCATTGCTTTTGCACATATTTCCAGGAAAGTTGAACAAAGAGGAGCATGTTCATGTGGGGCAGGGGTGGGAGGGGTCACCTAAGCATGTAGGCCCAGCACCACCTGGACCACACTCTCAACCAGTGAGCACCTGGTTACCTCTTTCTCTCGAGTGAAGTTCTCAAAGACAGCGCTGAAGGATTCATTCATTTTCTTCTTTTCTTCTTCGGATTCTAACTCAAATTTCTTTGCTATCCTGTGTTCTGCGGAGGAGAGAACAAAGCAGGTTTGTGTGTAAACGTGAGGAAAGCAGGCCAGAGAGAATGTCAGAATAACTGAAATCAGTAGCAGTTCCAGACTTGACTCAACCTGAGGACCTTTCAGCCCAAGCTGCATGCTCTGACCCTCAGCTGGGGAGATGCTTGGGGCAAGGTGAGCATCCTCCTGCTTGCAATGACAGTAGCCACATGGGATTCATTGGCAGTGGTTTAGTTTCTAGCTGCTGCTTGTTGCTATTTCCTCTGCCTGAGACTACACTGACTACATATTCTCAGGCATCTTTTTCTTCTCCTCCTCCCCCTTTCTCCTCCTTCTCCTTCTTTTTTTTTTTTTTTTTTTTTTTTTTTTTTTTGAGACAGGGTTTCTCTGTGGCTATCCTGGAACTAGCTCATGTAGACCAGGCTGGTCTGGAACACACAGAGATCTGCCTACCTCTGACTCCCAAGTGCTGGGATAAAAGGCATGGGAAAGGCATTTTCTTCTTTAAAGCTCTTGGCTAGCCCCAAACCTGGGGCAGAGGTAGGTTTCAGAGTCTCAGGCAGCAGGTACCAAACAGGAGGAAGGGAAGAGTAAACATGAATTCCCTCAGTGTCCAGCTGCAGGGATGGTGGGTATCTCTGGGCTGATTGGGTAACTCCAGTGGGCTACATGATGTAAAGCTAACTGGGGTTGCACCCTAACTTTTTTTTTCACTGTGGGGCTCTTCTGATGATGCAGTATCCAAAGGAAAGCCCTGAACAGATGTAGCTCCATATCTCATTCCAGCCTCAACTCCAGCATCCTCATGCTACAATGCTTGAGCATCCTTACTAGTCGAGCTGACTTTCCCAGAAGTCTTTGCATTTAAGTGATTAAGTTGATTTTAACCAATAAATGTACAACGAGTGGAGTTGACATGGGCTGTGGAATGGGTGTGTAGAAGACTCACACTTGTCTTAATTATTCCTCTAGACTGACCCAGGAACAATTTCTACACCTTCCTATTTCTTTTCCTAGGAAGCTCTGTGAGTGAGAACTGCATCTGTGGGGTACTTTGATCTAAGCTCTAGCCAAGAGTTACAAATATCAGAAATATTTACCAATCATTGCTTCTGTTGTGGGGCATGTGGGGGACATGGAGGCTGTCAGCATGATAGGCTTGTTTTTCCCCCCACTCTCCTCCACCAAATAATTTAAATTCTAATTCTAGAATTCCTCCTGGAATTTCAGATTCTACATTCTTTATAGGCCCTAGTTCCCATATTTGTTCCAGCCTATGATGGGTAAACATTTAAGTTTTGGATCCCTTAATTCATATGTCTGAAATTTTGTTTTTTGTTTTTTTTTTCCTTTTTTCGAGTCAGGGTTTCTCTGTGTAGCTTTGGAGCCTGTCCTGGAACTCACTCTGTAGACCAGGCTGGCCTCGAACTCACAGAGATCCTCCTGCCTCTGCCTCCCAAGTGCTGGGATTTAAAGGTGTTAGTGCCATCAACGCCTGGCTCGTGTGTCTGAAATTTTAAAAAGCCAACTAAACAAACAAACAAACAACAATAACAAAACCAGCCTTGCCGTCATTGTCATCCTTTGTTTCTTAGTAAAACAAGGCGCTGTTCATTCAGAAAGTCATCATCTGGCCTTTCACCATTGATAAATCCAAGGCCCTTCCCCGTAAGTGAAGGTCAAGACTGACAGCAGGCTTCCTTTGTTCTTGTCCTTTGATACTTTCGCTGTGGGAAAAGCCAACAGCTTCTGTACTACTCACTTTGTTTTAACAGGATCTTTTCTCGCTCCAGCTTCTCATCCTTCTCCCATTCCGCCTTGCGCTTTGACCACCTATCTTCCATTTCATCATAAATGCTATCCTGTGGGGACACAGAGGCACTTTGAAAAGAGCTATAACATGGGGACACTGCAGAGGCTGTGACTGCGCCCTTAGGCACTCAGCATAGCACTGAGGCCTTGTTCTCCCCTCAACTGGGCCTCACCAAGGGGGATACTTAAGGAAAACAATTCCAGCTAAGCTCAGTGGAGAGCTGGGATAAGCCCAAGGGTCAGGGGTTATCTAGGAACAGCACTTGTCAAGCTGGATCCAGACATCCTTCGAAGACAGGTAAGGCTCTCTGAATCAGTGATCACATCCAATTCTGCATCTTCCGGTAAGAGGGCCCCACCTCTGGGACTTTATCAAGTCTGGGGAAATCGTCCTATTCCGTTTTCCAATCCTGTGGTAACGGTCTGATAAAAGGCACCTTGGGCAGGATAGGATTTATTTGGCTTATACTCCCACATGGCATTCTATCACGGAGTGAAGGTAGGGCAGGATCTCAAGGCAGGAGCTGACACAAAGACCATGGGGGAGTGCTGCTTACTGGCTTGCTCCTGAGCTTGTGCCTGCTTTTACAAACACCAGGGGTCCAGAGGTGGCCCCACCCACAGCAGGCTGGGCTCTCCCACGGGAGTTATTTATTAATCAAGAAAGCGTCCCACAGACTTGTCCACAGGCAATGGAGGCAATTTCTCAAACGGGGCTCCCTCCCCCCAGATGACTCCAGTTTGTATCAAGCTGAGAAAAAGCCAGTTGGCTCAGGGATTAAAGGTACGGGCTACGTTCTGAAATAACTCCAGTGTTGATTTCAATGGAATGTAGAATACAACAGACTTTTTTGGATGGCAATTTGGCCAAATCCGTAAAAAGCCTTCAATCTGTTCATTCCTGTGACTAGCACTCCACTGTTAGGATCAACTACCTTCAAAGTGTTATTTTCCGTTAAGCGAGCAATCGAAACAGCACGCGGTGAACAGGAAGGGGATGGTGAGAGCCCAAAGGCATGTTCATTAGGATATCAGTCATGAAGGAAGGAAAGGCACTAATATGCCCAGTGAAAAGAAGGTACAAAACGTACATAGATTCGCTGTACCATAGTCTCAGCGAAGGCTAAAGCAAAGCACAGGTACCTCTGGTGAGTGACAATTCTTTCTTGTTGGTGTTGCTGTTGTTGGTTGTTTCCACTAGGGGAAAGCAGATGTGCTTGTTTTATGTGGACACGTGTTTTGCCTGCACTTTTGTCTGCACACTGTGTGTGTGCCTGGTGCCTGAGGAAGCCAGAAGAGGGAGGGCATTGGATCCCCTGCAGCTGTAGTTACAGATGATTTTGAGCCACTGTGTAGGTACTGGGAACCGAATCTAGGGTCCTCTGGAAGAGCAGCCAGTGCTCTTAACTGCTAAGCCATCTCTCTATCCCTTGTCACCTCCCTACTTCATTTTTGAAAAACAGTGGTGGAAAGATGTTAGAATCTCTACGTATCTACATTCATCCCCATGTTGTCAGTCAGAAATGAGCCTTGCTTCTTGTCCTCTCAGAATCTACCAGATAGCTCTGAATCTCACCTGATACATGTGAAACATATTCTTCAGATACTTATATTCTTTGCCCATCTCCTCTGGGTGGAAAGAAAACAGGGGCATCACTATTTCTGACAGGCACACTTTCCAAGTCTCATGTGAACTCTTCAGCACCACACCCAAGCTCCTCCTGAGGTGATGAAATCTTCCTATGACTCCCCAGTCATTCTGGAAGCTTATTAAAAGCCCAGATGTTGGATCTCACCTGAGCTGACTGATTCAGAGCATCTGGAAATGAGGCCTGCTACTGTTTGACACATACGCTTCTGGGAGATATCGAAACTCACATGCTCTGCTCCATCATTTTACTAAGAACCCAGGAGTAAATCCTTGTCTGTGGGAAGGAGGAACAACACCTCCCAGCATGCGCCTGCTTCTCCTCCCAGCATGCACCTGCTTCTCCTCCCAGCATGCACCTGCTTCTCCTTTTATGTTTCTCTCTTTACGATGGTTCTGAAAACCACACATTCTCTTTAGGAAATTAGAAAATAAACAAAGTATAAATAAGACCCTAACTTAAAATAAAGGACTATAGACTCTATAATGTAGAGTTCTCCTTCTGTCGGTGATTAGTCTATAAACCAGAATCTGAAGGATGCACACACTGCTCTTCCCAAGGACAGTATAAGCAGTGTGATCCTCTCAGTTTAGCTCTATGCACTACAGAGCCTAGCAATTGCAATATGTCAATTAGGATGCAATAAAACACTGCCATTTTACATGTGGGAAAACCCAAAGAAATCACAATGATATAATAATTTTAGAACTTTAAAATGCACTTACATTCTCACTTCATAGATAGCAGATTTTCAGGAAAAAAGCAAGGACATAGATACCCCGCCCCCTTTCCCGGCGTCACTCTTTAGTCACTCTCCTCCCTCTGAACTTCAGAAAGGAAATCTTAGATGGCTGTCTGTGCCAACGCATGGCCATGGGGCCCATACTAACCACCTTTCCTAGGCTTCCTCCCAGAGCCTGATGGTACCTAGTTTCTCCTGGGCAGCAGCCTTCTCCACCTTCAGCGCGTCTTTATAGCTGCTCTCTAACTTCTCGAGCTCCATTTTGTGAGCTGCCTTGATATCCCTGTGGGACAATTGGTGAAAAGAAGTCCAGAGCCTGCTGGGCATTGGTGGCACATGCCTTTAATTGCCACACTCGGGAGGCAGAGGCAGACAGATCTCTGTGAGTTTGAGACCAGGCTGGAAGAGCTAGTTCACAGAGAAACCCTGTCTTGAAAAATTTTAAAAGAAGGAGGAGGAGAAGAAGTAGTAGTAGTAGTAGTCCAGAGTCACCAAGCTAGCTCAGCAGGTAAAGGTGCTTGCCATGGAAGCCTAACATACTGAACTCGATCCCTGGAAGCCATGGTGGAAGGAAAGAACTGACTTCTAAAAATGGTCTTCTACAAAGATCCACAGAAACACTGTGAACACACACACACACACACTCACGTATGCACTCACGAATGCACATGTGCAAACACATATGACTGCGCACATGCCAGACATTTCCTACTTTCAAAGACAGTCACTGCTTTGAACAGAGAGCTCGGACAAGGGCCTTGGCCTTCCCTCAGAAGCCAACAGCCAACAGTTGAAGCCCTCAGGTTAAGTGTAGAACCACAGGTCCAGCCCCATGACAGGATTCATATGTTGATAGTATCAAAGTGAGAGCCTCCACCCATAAATCAAATGGAAGAAACAAACATATCACTAAAGGAAAAAGGCTACTCTGCAAAAACCACATGCTATATTATTCTAACATTAAGCAAGAAAAAAACCATGGAGACAATAAAACAATCAGTGGTTTCTAGGCATCGCCTTGGGAGGGGTGGGAGGGATGAGCAAGTGGAGTATATTAAGAGAGTAAAACCACCATGGACAACATTCTCGCAGTGGATACATGTCCACATACAAGTCCCTCCCAAACACACAGAATGTTCTGCACCAGGAGTGACCCCCCAAGCAGGTGACAATGAAGTGTCAGTGCAGGTTCATCAATTGTGACAAATGTAACCTCTTTCAGAGACACTGAAAATGAGGGAAGTAAAGGATGGGACAGAAGGGGAGTGTGGGCACGCTGTGCCTCTCTGGTAAGTTTGCTCTAAACTTTAAACTGTTAAAAAACTAATGAAACAAACAAATAAATAAATTCATCAATGCATTTATAAAATGTTGTGGCTCATATAGAGGTGCTGTCTCTGCTAGGATTTCTGTTGATTATTTATATTCCAGATACTTAAGGAATAAAACATGCTGTTCTGATTTGTGAATACAATGTGTCATAATTAAATCACTCTAGATGACATAGCCATCAACTCAATTTTTTTTTTTTTTTTTTTGGTGAGGATATTTGAAACTCGCTTTTTTCTTTTTAAAAAAGTTTGTTTTTGGTTCTTAATTTTGTTTATATGTATGTGTCTGTGTGTGGGTTTGTATATGTGAGAGTGGGGCCTGAAGAAGCCAAAAGGCGGACCCTCTGGAAATGGAGTGTCAGTGATGAGCTGCCACACCAAAGCTGGGAAACAAACACAGGTCCTCTGCAAAAGCAGGACGTGCTCTTAGCCACTGAGCCACCTCTCCAGCCTGAACTTTAGCTCTTACGCAATTAAAAACGAAGAGCACAATATTATTACTATTCTAAGGCCTGCAAAGCTCTTTGAAAAACATTTCTCCTGTCTGGGATTTTTATACACCTTAGAACATTTTTATTGCATGTATTTATTTAGTGTGTATGTTGTGTGTAATAAGTACAGTTATAATGGCATCTCCAATCAGTTGTGTGTGTGCGTGCTCACACTCGTGTGCACGTGCACTGTACATGCATGCATGGATGCTAGAGGGTAACCTGGGGGCTCTGTTTCTTCTTTCTACCATGTGGGGCTTGGTGATCCAATCCAGGTCATCAGGCTGTTGGAAACACTGTCCCAAATTCTGTACACTTTGATCATCACCTCTCATGGTCTAGCCTAAGTAACCACTTATCTGTGTTCTGTTTTCTGAGCTTTAGGCTTCAAATATAAATGAAAACACATAACTCTGCCTTTGTCCTTCCCTTCCATCCATGTTGTCACAATTGGGAGGATTTAAAAATCTCATCTGTTGACAGAACACAGGTTGGTTCTATAATGAGGCCGTGGTGCACAGTGTAAATAAGCATGGAGTTCAGACTCTTGTCAAGAACCTAAAAAATGTTCTAAAAAAACAAACAAACAAACAACAAAAAAAAAACCAATCAGAAGTAATTTTAAATAAGCAGATGACACAGCAAGGTGCTGTCCCTTCCCCAGGCGTTAAGATCCCCCTGACACACAGACAGCACACTGCCTTCTCACTCAGGTGGACTTGCTCTGTTCATTCTTCCCTGAGCTAAGAGGGAAGCAGGAGGAAGAAGAGGGGGGGAGGGGAGAGGAGGGAGAGAAGGGAGAATGTGCTCACAACAAATCATGTATGACAAAGCTTCGGGGAGAAATAAATAAATAAATAAAAATGGCTTTTCTCGGCATACCACAATGGAAACGAAAAGGATGAATGATGTAAAAGCAGGAGCAGAAAACATAAACTGTTCCATCTTAGTGACCTCAGACGAAGCCACCCTGCTCTCCGAGGACACATCCTCTCACACACTACAGCCAGCTGCACTTGGCCCCACTGGGAGCCTCCGGGGAACTGGGATCCTGCCATGGCTTTTCACATGCGCCTTTGCCAGGAAGCCTACCTGTTTTCATTTTCAAACTTCTTTTTCATCTCAGCGCAGCGGAGATCCATCTCGTTGGAGAGCTGGAAATGGGGTCAGTGTTAACATCCCAGGCAGGATTCCAGCGGGATCTGATCTACATCTCTAAAGCCCCTCCCTTCAGAGGCGGTGCTGCCTCAGTCTCTCCTGAGTGGCTCTGCAGTGCAGATTGTCCCCTGCCTAATTATCATGGCTGCGCCTAGGCACCTTCTCTTTCACTGCTTCGTTACTGGGTCTGCCTTCTATGGGTTCTTTCACACTTGGGAATCACTTCTTTAGACTTCAGACTTGGCCGAAGAGTCAAAAAGAACCGTCAGACTCCACACACATTACAGGGTGCCCGTGGCCCCATACTCCCTCCCCACTGCTTCCAGCGGGGAGTCAGCCATCTTGGCCACAGGCCACCTCGAAAAGAACTATCTCCTCCACACTGTGGGACAGCCAGGCTCCTCTGAGTCCCAGTGCGCTGAGGCAATGCGGTGTAAGCTCCCCAGTCTCTGCCTGCTGTTGTCTGTCTGTCCGTGGTGTATCCCTAACGACCATCTCACTGTCATCCTGAATGCCATGCTGAGACCTTGCAAAGGTCACGCTGCTAACGAGATGTTCACAAGTAGGAATATTTTCAAGACACCCCCACCCTAATACAGAAGGTCTCTAAAGCTGCCTTCCATAGGGCCTGTGCCAGGGAGTCAAATGTGAATTTGCCTAAAGCCCTATCTTCTTACACAGATGGAATTTCCCCAAACCTCAGATTGCCGTTTGAAGAAGACTGGCAGGGTAACAAGACAACAAATCAGAGGTAGCAAAGGTCTCAGCCTGGTCATGAGGTGGCTCACTGTAAGATGTGGATAGCCTGGGACAAATCAGCCTGTGAGGCTGCTGTGGGGAGGTGGGGCTTTACGGGGAGGTTTACTCCAGTAGCATCTGGGTGCATGCTCCTAAGCATGGCTGTGTTCTGTCATTTCTGCCCCAGTCACCAGGTACACCCGCCTGAGCTGGGGGAGAAGGCATTAAACCTGCACCCATGGCCAAAATGTTAGAAATATCACCTGGTGTTTTTTGGGGTTTTGTTGTTGTTGATTTTGTATTTTTATTTTTAAACTGCCTCTAGACTGTGAAAGGACGCCAGCTGCTTCTTAAGAATGGGCCCCAAGAGTTTAACAGTAATAGACTGGATTGAGGGCTGGGGGGCATTCCTAGAATATTTGTATGACCCCCGGAGACATCCTCAGTGCCGGGGTCATTAGCAATAGTCTGGTAATCTCTGATGCTTGTATTTAATGACAAAGGTCAGAGGGGGAGTAATCAGTGGCCCCAGTGTGGAGAAGACAGTGTTACCACATACCCAGAGGCACCTGGAGAGCCTCTGGGATGGAATGTCTGAGTTACAGTTTACAGTTATGGATGGGGATGCAGGCAGAGAAACATCGCTCTGTGCACACATCTCTTTGTGGAGTCCTGCATCCGGATAGCATGGCTCGCTACAGCACAGTGCCTGGCATGTTTGCCTGGCACGCAGATGTTCTGAAAGTATCAGTTCTGAGGGTGTGGTTAATGCAAGGGTCACTCACCAGTTTCTGGGCAGACTGGTGGTCTCTGTTCATCTGCTCTATTATTGCTGTCAGCTCAGAGATCTGCTCCTCAAGATCAGAAATGATATCAGTCCTGTGGGAAAAACACTTCTGTCACCACCAGGCTGCCTAACTCGGGTCTGCTTCGTGCCTGCTCTGTAGCTATGGCATGGGGATGCAGTGACAGAGGCTGGACCTGAATAAGGCATTTCATAGTGGGGCCCTTAGCTGGAAATGCTCAGGGCCATGTGGTATCCTGTTGAGCAGAAGAAATAAGACTGTGGCCGATACTTATCAGACTTTGGTTGTTGCTTGTTGACCACAAAAGGGAAAGTGCGGGGTGGGGGGGGGAGATTAGGAAATTGGGAAGCTTAGGAAGACTCATGCTGGCAGCCAACCGCAGACAAGGAATGGCCCTGGACAGGACCAAGAGGAGGCTTAAATGAGGAAGTGTGTGAGGCACCTGCCATGTCTGCAATCCCAGCACTCAAGAACAGGAGGATAGTGAGTTTGTGTCCAGTCTGGGTCACACAACAATATAGTATTTCCAAGGTTTCTCTGTGTAACATTGTCCTGGAATTCACTCTGTAGATCAGACTGGCCGAAAACTCACAGAGATCCACCTGCCTTTGCCTCCTAAATGCAGAGGTTAAAGGTATGGTCCACTGCAGCACCTACTCTGTGTGTGTGTGTGTGTGTGTGTGTGTGTGTGTGTGTGTGTGTGTGTGTGTAATGGGACACTGCAATGGAACTGTGACGGAGTTCTCAAGAAGTTTCATTTTCTTGGTGCCGAGCATCCCTCTCTTGGCATAGAGACAGTGTTAGGTGAGGAAATGAGAAAAGGTGTAAAAAAAGAGGGAGCTGAGGGAGAAGGAGGCTGAAAAGCAGCAAATCTTTGTCTTGTAAGCATGGTCTTCACTGTGAACATCTTTCACAGCTTTAGCTGGGAACACAATGAGCATGATGGGTTCCATTCTACCACAAGAGAGGACAGCTTCCTTGTGAGGCCACGAGGTAGCTATGGATACTACTTAGAAAACAGTGTCGGAATCCCTCCCCACCCCACCCTGCCCCTGACTGGATGGGGAGCTGGGGATGACTCTGGCTTGTCTGAGCCAGCTGAGGTCAGTAACTCCATAGCCTCCATGGCATGGCCTCACCCCCAACCCTTCCCAGAGGTAATAACTGCCAACAACTCAGATGTTTCCTTTCTATGTAGCAACAGATGGGTGACTGTGTGTGTGTGTGTGTGTGTGTGTGTGTGTGTGTGTTTATGTATGGCATATTTGAATGTGTGTTCCTGCACATGCACATGGGTACACATGGAGGTCAGGGTTCAATGTTAAGTGTCTTCCTCTGTTGCTTTCCACATTCTTGTATGAGACAGGCTTTCTTACTAAACCTAGAGCTCATGTTTTAGCAAGTCCAGCTGGCCAGTGATCCCTGGGGATTCTCCTCCTGTCTTTCAGTGCTGGGATCACGGGCATGTGTCACCATGCCCAGCTTCTTCCATGGATGCTAGAGACTGGAACTAACTTGATCACTTGAACATCTCCCCTGATCCTTTGGAACAACAGCTCCTTTTCTTGTTTGCCTTTTGTTTTTGATCTAGGGTCTCTCTCTACACAGCCCTGGCTGTTCTGGAACTTGCTATGTAGATCAGGCTGGTCTCCCACTAGCAGAGATCTACCCGGCCATGTCCCCACAACCTCCCCCTCCACACAGCACTGGTACTGAGGGTGTGTGCCACTGTGTCTTCAGAACAGTAGTTCTTACAGCAGACTAAAGCTAGAAGGAGGGGACCCTGGGAGAGCCAGGTGGTAACACGGTAAGGAGTGAGAAGCCTGGATGGTGGAGAAGCTGAAGACGTGAATGAGAGGTCTAGGAAGTAGAATTGAAATGTGTGGGTGTGAAGCATGGGAATGGCATCAGATGGTAGCAAAGGAGGCGGAGCTTCAGAGAAAGAGCAATGGCTGATGCTCAACAGGACCGACCAGGTTGGAACCTTCCAAACCGCATCTCCCAGAGTCATGGGCAATTTTGGATTACTTATCATGGAAAAAGAAATGCATACTCCTGTCTTTGTTCTTGTCTCTACACTCAGAATCCAGACTGTCTTTGAATATTTTACCTGTCCCTTCCTGGAAGGAGCACTTTCCTCTTTAGTGTAAGTCATGCTAGCTGGCCTATTTCTGGGCTGGGATCTGTTACCTGGACATGGATAGCAGGTATTTACTGGAGCCAGGCTGGGAAGTCTAGCTGGGCAGAGCCAGCTCTGAGAAACTGGTGTTAATCCAATGACTTTACCTGGAAAACTTGATTTTGTTCAAGATGTCCGATTCCAAGTGCTTTTTCCTATTGAACATCTCATCTCCCAAGGTGACTGAAATCTGTTCTCGATTTCTAACAAGTTTATAGCCGGGTGACACATCAATCACTTCCTGAGTTTCAAGGTGGAAGGCAAAGAGAAACTGTGAGCCTCGAGGAGCTGAGAGTCCTCCACCTTATACACAGGGACACTGTACTGAGATTCCAGGGCCTGAGATCCTTCTGAGCCACTACCCTCAAATCTCTCAGAGCCAATCCAAACACTCACTTGCCCACCCCCCCCCAGGGGCCACTTAAACTCAGCAGTACCAACTGATCAATTGACCCCACTCCGTTCCTCCTCCCTCCTGGTCCTCCACTGTGTCAGGAGCGGGGCATTGTGGGAACTGCTCCACTTTTGGAACTGAAAAGGCCAATTTTTAAATATTTGGCCCCGGTGCTATTTCACATCTCTGTGACTCAGCGTCCTCTTCAGAAAAATGGTGATAATCATGTCTTCAAAGGGCTTTTGTAAGTAGGAAAAACAACAAAACAATGTGCAAGGAGATGATTAGTATGGGTGCAGACAAATGCAGTCATTTAATCCGCCTCCCTTCCTTAGCTACCAAGACAGAATCCTGGCAGAGTCATTGGCTAACATGGATACAATCATAGCTTCTATATACATGCAGACCATTCTGCAGTACCACAAGGGACCTGGGCCATTGTGGCCATCTCCTAACTGGTATCTCAGCCTTACCTTCCTTTAAGCCTGACCCATCACGGGCCAAGAGCTCAGCATCTTATGCTTGGATTCTTAAGATGCTGCCCCAGCTGGTTTCTGCTTTCATTCTTGTGCTCCCAGTGTCTGAGACCTTTCCACCTAGTAGGGTGATTGTGCTTCTCTTGGATTACTTTGTTCCTGACCACTAATGCCCTTTAAAGGACTGCATGGTCCTTGCTTAGGAAGGGCACGGGGGGGGGGGGCGGCGGGGGACGGGACGACGATGACAGGGACAGGTGAAATGATAAAAAGTGGTCGGAATGTCCTACAAGAAAGTGCATTTTCTAAAATATGGTTATAACCTGCTTTCACACCTATGTCGAACCATGGAAACTCATGTTCCGAGGCCCATGTCTGTGCCTTTGTTGTCTTTAGGTGCTTTGACAGACCCTGCCTCAAGATTTGTGGCTTCCCTGTATGGCAGAGGGCCTCCTGTATTGGGGCATGAGCTGTAGCCTGAATGGCCATCATCTATTTTCCCTCAGGGAACCTACACAAAGCAGGGGAGAATAGCTGGGGTTAGTTACAGTTTGGCCATCTACAGGCTACATAAAATGCACACCATTGATGCTATGAGGATGGCTCCTAGGCTCTCTGTTAAGATTTGCTTGCATACTGTAGGTGCTAGATAAATGCTCTGGGGCAGGGAATTCCCCCACTTCTACTCACAGAAGGAAGTTTGCTGCTCTCCTCTGGTTTTCCTGTCTGGGCTTTGTCTCTGCAAGAGAAAGGTGTTCAGAAAGCCATGGAGCAGGAGCAGCTGAGAGATGGAGCTCAGGGGATGATCCCTGAGGCGGCCACCTCTGGCCTTTGTTCTCCTGAGTTAGTCACTTGACCTTCTAGAACCCTGAGTAGCTGGAAAACATGTTGATACAAGGCCTCCGGAGGGTTAAGTCCAAACTGGATGTGGGTGGGGCTATACCCTGGAGCTCCCAGGGCAAATTGATTCCTTGCCTTTGCCAGCTTCTAGAGGCTTCCATGTCCCTAGTGGTCGTCTTTCACAGTGGTCACATCTCTCTGACTGACACCCTTTTCCATAATTGTATTGGCCCCACTTGGAGAATACAGGTGAAGGAACTTCTACATCTCAGGCCAGCTACCTGACACCCTCCAACCTCCGCCCACAGTTCTATCTTCCCACTCTCCAGGGATGGAGACTAAACCTCTCTGCAGTCTATGCTTTCTGCCATTCATTGCTTTCTTCACTTCCTTTAAGCTGAAATCACCATGGATTTGGTTTGGGGGAAAAAAAATCCTCAATGGATTCTGGCAAAATTTTGATATCCCCAGAGGCAAATTAGCTCAAATCAGGATGGATGTGGAGGTCCCGTGTGTGTGTGTGTGTGTGTGTGTGTGTGTGTGTGTGTGTGTGTGTGTGTGTGTGTGTGAGAGAGAGAGAGAGAGAGAGAGAGAGAGAGAGAGAGAGATCCCTGGGTAGTTGGGGAATCTGTTGATACAGGGACTCAGTGATGGAGAAATCCAAAATGGATGTGGGCAGGGATATACTCTGGAGCTCTCAGGGCGAGTCTATTTCTTGTGTAGTGGTAGATAATTTTATCCATTGCCTCACAGATCTAAGCATACTTACTTTGGGGAAACAGCAGGTTTTGTTGGTTGGGACAGGAGATAGTTGCGGTCTCTTGAAACTGGTGTAGGAAGGGTTTGCCTGAAAGCAATAAATAAATAAACACTGAAAATTAAAAAATAATAATACAATATGTTTCAACATTCCCCAATAAGGGCATATCCTATGATGTGACAGCTGGGGATCATGAAGATTTGAGGCCTTGAAGACCCCAGGTCCAAGGCTCTTCTACCTGTACTTGTCTACTATCTCCAAGAACTCCTGGTTGAGGGAGGCAGGGGAAGTGGGAGAAGGGGAGGGGGAAACTGGGGTTGGTATGTAAAATGAAAAAAATTAAAAAAAAAAAAAAAAAAAAAAGAACTCACTTAGTGGAGCCCATTCTATATGGAGAGATGCCTTGCCCAGCCTAGACACAGGGGTGTGGCGGTGGAGAGGTGCCTTGGTCCTGCCTCAACTAGATGATGGGACAGACTGCTACCAAAGGGAGGGACAGACTGCTACCAAAGCTCTGTTTGGGTGTTACACACACACACACACACACACACACACACACACACACACACACCCCTGCAAAGTTACAAAGTCAAGCCTTCTTTATTGAAATGTAAAGCAGGCCTACAAGACTAGAGCAGCAGCCTCCAGGCTGGTTGGGAAGGTAGGAAAGCAGGGCTTCCTGTTCTGTGGGGAATTTGTGGCAATCTCTCAACTGGGGAATCTTATAAGACCTTTGTAGTCCTCTTTTAGGACTACAAAAAAACAACCACTTCGTGTACTCAGCCCAACCCAACTTATTCTTACTTAAGCTTCCCTGTGGAGGCCTTTGGAAGTGGATGAGGGGTCTTGATTAGCTTCCGTGGCCCCAAGTTCCAGGGGTCCCAGCAGGTGCAGTAGATGAGAGGGTTGGGGTACATTGTCAGTCGGGCTCAGATGCAGTCTTGGTTGCTAGGTCAGAGGCTCTTGTTGAGATGAGAAAACAACCACAGAGAGTTAAACCTCTTAGAATCAAGGCAAACAAAGATTGGGAAGGATCGAGGGGCAGCCCAAGGAACAAGGGTGGATGGAGGCTGAGCTGATGTAGGCTGGCACTGTGGAGTGATGCCTTACAGGTTGCCACTTGACCTGAAAGCAATTAAACATCTTCCACAACTGTAGTTATCACTGTAGTCCAAGGACAGAGTCCTTGCTTACAGGTGACATACAGAGATGTCACAGAGCTAACACATGGCAGAGTTGGGAGGACACATTCCCTCGGTTCCTATGGCCTGTTCACCTCAGATTCACATTAGCAGATCCTGCTCAGAAGTTCTGGGAAATTAGCTCTACTTCTCCAACTAGAGCATAGATGTCTCCCTGTTTGTCGGTTCGGGTCACCTGCCTGAATTGCAGAAGGGAACTAAAAACAAGCCCCCACCATGATTACTGCACAGAAGACAGCTGGCGGGTGACCCTGACTCGGAGAGGTACACTTCCTGATGACCCTGACAGGTAGGTAGGTGACAGATCTGACAAGCATTCAATAGGATGAATGGTGTCCTTGTCATTTCAGTACCAGATTGACCTCTGTCCCATCCCCAAACCTGTGGTATATACCACCTTAAGAAGAGAAAGAGACTTTGTATTAAAGAGGAAACATCAGGTCAATGGGTTACTGTCCTATCTCCTCACAGCATCTGTTTTTGGCAGTTTTGGGGGGGCTATGAAATCTAGTGGGCCTGACTTTACATATTAGACATGGGACTGCAGGAATTTCTGAGTCTATTGCATTGTCTTTAAAAATACTGCCCATGCCAATTCATGCTGGGTGGCATTGCTTGCACATGTAATGAGACCAAGGAACATGCTCAGCTCTGCACACGGAGACATACACCCTGAACTACAGTGGCATTCTGCATTTTTTCTACCAGGAATATAGGTTTGTGTGTGTGTGGTGTGTGTGGTGTGTGTGGTGTGGTGAGTGTGTGTGTTTTTCCTGTATTTTCTCCCCAGTGTTTTCCTCAGGCTGGGAGGGCTGGCTCTAAGCCATAGAGTTTAAGGGTACTGGTTTAAACCACCCGCAGGTTCTTACCTTAATGTTTTCAAAGATTCGTTCTCCTGTGGTTCCTTCCCAAGTTGAGAGTCTTAAAGAAACCAAATGTTTTAGGGAAGCAAGATCCCATCAGCACAAAATCAGGGTTCATTTTACCAAATCAAGATGTTTCAGACCTCATGGCTTCAGCACTTATCCCCAAGCAGCTGGGATGCCAAGGCAGAAATCCACAGGCCTGCCCTAAGGGACCTGCAGACAGAGCCAATGGCTTTCAGAAGGGTTGAGCAGGCATGCCAGGAGTTCCCCTTAGAAAACAGCTCAGTTATCCCCAGGTATTACAGTGAGAGTCACCCTTATGGAGAAAGTCACCCTTTACCCAGTCCTTTGAGCCTGTCTTGTGAGGTTTGCTCTAGGGACAGGTCTAGAGGGTTTGTTTCTTTATCACTATGGAAACAGAATGTTGTGGCCACATTGGCTCAAAGCACAGGGTTCTTAACAGAAGGTTGGAGAAGCAGCCAGTTAAATCTTCCTAACTGCAAATCAATGTCCATTCTCAACAGCAAGGGACTCATACAAGGTTTTTACTTCATTATCAGACACAAGGAACCCTAAAACACATTTCTAGAGCAATAGAATTTATACAGCACCTGGGCCTAAGTGGCAAATGGCCACAGTCCCCAGGCTTTGATAACTGATTTTAACTTCCTGTTTTCTCAAAATCCCAGGACTCCACGGTGGATGTTCCTGCTCTTTGACACTTAGCCATTGAGACCCATGGAAGTCCACAGGAATGGGCCATTTTTCAGCTACCCGTGGCTTCAGATTTTTTTCCCCCTAAACAAAGCTGATCTTGCCAAACAAAACAAAACAGTCAAAACCAAACTAAAAAAGTGCTTGGTTATTCATTTTTACTTTCCCACAACTCACTAAACAATGCATTTTCTAGCGAAGGTTCACAATACCTCATCGCTTACTATTCTGCTTTTCTTTTCTAAATTAAGGCTGATTCTTCCATTGGATTGATTCGGTGATGGTCCGTGTCCCACAGTTTACAAAAGCCAGATAGATGTTCACAAGCTGCATGTGTCCTGCCTGGATGCCAGGCTCTGTAGCTAGGCAGAGGGCATCAGCTCAGTTCTGTGCTCAGTAGAGCTAAAAGGCTAATTTAGAAACCAATAAATGCACAATTAATCTTTTGTGGGTTTTTTTTTTTCAAGACAAGGTTTCTCTGTGTAGCCCTGGCTCTCCTGGAACTCCCTCTGTAGACCAGGCTGGCCTCGAAGTCACAGAGATCCATTTGCCTCCTCTGGGATCAAAGGGTGAGCCACCACCACCTGGCCACAGTTAAGAGACTCAATGGTTCTTCCACTCGTGTTAATGAGAACTTTAACCAGAGAAGGACTCTGACTCTATCTACATATAAGAATGATCGTGGTGACTCCAAGGCAGAGAAACAGGTGGAGGGGCCATGATTGGAGACAAGGGAACCGTGTAGGAATGTCTCAGAGGCCTGAGGAGTCTGGGTGAGGCCTTGGAGGGTGAGGACGCAGTCAGGATGACTAGAGGACACAGTACACTGGGACATGGGAGGGAAGGAAGGAGAGATACTGTGACTCCTGGGTCTCCAGCTCCAACCCCTGAACTGCTGTTGGTGCCTGTGGTGGTTTGAAAGAAAATGGCCCATAGGGAGTGGCACTGTTAGGAGGTGTGGCCTTGTTGGGGTGGGTGTGGCCTTGTTGGAGGAGGTGTGTCACTGTGGGGGCGGGCTTTGATGTAAGCTCAAGCCACACCCAGTGACCCAGTTCACTTTTGGTTGTCTGTGGGATCAAGGTGTACAACTCTCAGCTCCTTCTCCAGTACCATGTCTGTCTGCACGCCACTATGTCCCGTCATGATAACAATGGGCTAAACCTCTGAAACTACAAGCCATCCAAAGTAAATGTTTTCCTTTCTAAAAGGTGCGGTGGTAATGGTGTCTCTTCATAGCATTTGAAACTGTAACTATGACAGTGGCATTTACTGGTAGGATTATGTTGGGGGTGAACAGGTTTGGGAAGAGACCATGCTTTCTGTTCCCTTGCCAGGGGAACACGTAAGTGGTGATGTTTATAATCTGTGGTAAATAAGAATCTGGGAAACGATAGGCTGATGGATGTTTATTCGGGGAGAAATCACTTACACCAGAAACAGATGACTGATGCAGGTTCCTGTCCCAAGGATGCTTTCGGAGGCTCTCTGTCTCCTACCAGGAGGAAAGAGAGTGAGCTGGGGTCCAGGACCCCAGACCTACTCCCTCCAGGTCATGCACGCACCTGTTCTCATGTCCCAATGGGCGTGGTCAGTGCAACAGGTGCAGGAGCGGTGGATATCTCACTACAGTCTACTGGAGAATTTATTAAAAGTTCTGTAAGTTCAGAGAAGCTTCTAGAAGCAGATTCAGTGATGAATTATTTAAGAAGAGTGTGTATCATTTAAGAAGATGGCCTGGAACCTAGATCCAGGCAATGCCAGTGTCAACTGCAACCATTTCTCGAAATCGTCAGTGCAAATGCTTCCAGCTTGTAGTTACTAGTGGCTTAAGGCAGGCAGGTCTGTCCGCCTCATGTGACAGGGAGTGGAGGCCGTGTGAGCAGTTACTGGAAGGACTCAGCCTCATGTTTGCGATCTGGGTTCTCTGTCAGTCTCTTGTGTCAACTAAGGGAAGCCTCATGGCTTCTACAACTCCAAGGGCTGTGAAAGACAAGATGGGGGCAGATGTTCAGAACTTAAAAGGAGGGAAAGAAATAAAGAGGAAATTTGATACATTCGACTCTATTGAGTTTTACTTTGAACCTGTTGGTCATGTAATTTTATATTTATTTTTGTGTGATTAGTAAAAAGGAGAGTGTAAGTTCTGAGTGGGCAGTGGATGAAAATAAAGACAGAAGGGGAACAGATGCCGAGGGGGAAACCCTTGCTAGAATTTCTTCAGTTGTTTTCTTGTGGTAATCAGGTACAGCCAGGTTCCTGTCACCGAGCTACATGCCCAGACCTAGTACAAATATTTGGAAGTCAGTACCACCCAACCGCCCCCTGCTGCCACTCTCCCCTCAACACGCTACTGTTTGTCAGCTCCAAAACAGCAGAGGGACATGAAGTGAAGGATTTCAAAGGGAAGCAGCATTTCCAAGGTCCCTCGAGGCACGGAGTGGACCAGACTACCAGGATAACAAAGCACGGTGAATGATACCGCCTTAACATTCCAGACAGCTGTGTTACCGGAATTGGTTTGTGGGGATTTGGAGAAGGGACACTGTCCTGTGCCATCTTGCTGACTCATAAGGTGGAAAATGTGATGAGCCACGAACAGCCAGGGGCTTTGCATTTAGTGTGAATGCTTTTGCTGACTGTGAGAACTGTCCCAACCAGGAAGGGCCTCGCAAATATCTGTTGTACTCACCTGTCTTTGGCCACTTCTTGTCTTCCGATTTCTGACTTTAGGATGCTGTGCTGACCTCTTGGGTCCATTCAGCTGTTTCTGAACGGTTCCAGCCACAGAGCTACGGAACTGTGAGAGCCTGCACTTCTGTGGTCATACCCAGCATGACCACTGTTTTGGGTTTCCTTCATTCTCCATCTCCCCACCCCACTCCCCTGCAGAGATGGTATCTCACTACACAGCACAGGTGGGCCTTGGACAGACAACCCCACTGCTGTCTCCCAAGTGTTGGGCTCACAGGCATGCACCACCACAGCTGGTACTTCCTACCTCTTGCCCCTTAGGAGGAAAGCTCATAGTGTTCCAAAGCTTTGAAGGTTTGTGCTTCGTGTTGCCAGCAGGGTCAGGGACAGATACTCATTGAGAACACCGGAAGGACTGGAGTGGCGGTGGGTAGTGTGCAAGATTCTGCAGAAGGAAAGTTCTCC